ACTCAATATGTATTTAGTAAGATAACTGTATATGTGTGTATGTATGTTTGAGAATAAATCGAATTGTTAACTCACGTCTCGATAGTCAATTGAGAATTTTTTTTTCTTCTTCTCTTCATTCATATCAATAAATGATTATTAAAAGCAATATTTTATTTTTCTTCTTGAAAATGCATTTTTTATTTCACTGATAGTTATAGTTATTTTAAATCAATGATGATAAGAATCAAGTGGTTTTGAAACACTCTTGTTTTCTATTTACTATTGTCAATAAGACAGACTTCATAATCGGCTTTTATTCAAACTAAAATATTTCTGTGAAAAACTTTTCTATATTTGAATACCGAATAAATGAATGTCTGGCATAGTTTTAATAGCTTAAATATTTAGACATGCTGAATTAAACAAAAAAATCGTTTAAAAACTCATGGAAATACGAGAATATATTCTGAGCATATATAAGAGTCAGAAAGATTAGACGGATAAGAGATCATGTTTTATAATTTAACTGTTATGAGTGAATTTGTGAAGTTTCTACCATTTTTACGGAAAATTTTTATTTTCAATTTCAATTGCCTAATTGAACGGAATGCCATCGAAAATAGTCTTAAGTAATAATTAAAACGTTTTTAAACATATTATTGTTTAGGAATATTTCATAGATGCGAAGGACTACTGATGATAAACTATCAAAAATATTTTAATTGTTATCTCGGACCATTTTCGATGATATTACTTCCAATTAGTCTACTAAAACTGAAAACAAAACTTCCTTTGAGCATATTTGCATAAAATATTCTGCTTCCTGACAATTATAGAAATCCTACTGATTCACCGTTACAATAGTTTTACTAAATTTTCCAGTCTATTCATAGATTATTACTGAAAGACTAAAATATTTCTTATACGACTGAAGCGATTTATATGAGCTTTTCATCATTTCATACGTATGAAAATGACTTCCAGAAAGATAAAATCAAATTATTTAAAAAAATGATGTAAATCATCCGAGCTACCAAAATGCTATTCATATTTTTTCTGTGCGACTTTTTGGAGTAACGTGTAAAGTGTTAGTCAAAGCCAATGATTGTTCCGTGAGATACTGGATTTTCAAAAAATGTTCACAAGTCGTAAAAATAGCACGAAACATCAATATTTCAGAGCATACGAAGAACCATCCGACTTCTTTATGGACTCAATTTCATCTAGATTTTCCTTTCCGTTTATTCGAGACCTATTCATGATTTTGTTTTTCGGAGGACTTTTGGAGTACTCTGTAGGCCTGATAATCCTTGCAAATTTAATCGACAACAATTGTTTTTTCGTCTGAATATTAAAACATTCATCAGCTCAAACTCTCATAAGTTGCATTGAAAAACTTCTATAAGTAGTATGTCCAAAAAATGAATTTATATACTGTTTTTTCTTGAATAAACCAAAAAATGCACTGTATGTGCTTTGAATATATGTTTATTTAGTAAATCTGATAAAAATAGAAAAAAAGTGAAATAAACACAATCAAACACTTTAAATCTCCAGTATAATCGATTACTAATGTTATAAAAAATTGAATATTTTTTTCAATTTCATCTGACAGAAAAAGAACAATTTGTTGACAAAAGGTACTGTTGTAATCATATGCGACAGAAAAAAAAACGAAAAGAACAACTCAAAAATAAAATTTTCGTGTCACAATAAACTTCTATCAGTATGTTGAGATAGAACGAACTTATTTATTATGTATAAATGTTCAATGAATTATATAGATGTCGATGTATGTTTGATTTTCAATAGTTGTCTCTAGTTATAAAATAAACGTCGTTTAACACTGGTTATTCTTATCAACCATCCATCCGATAAGGTGATTATTTGAATTTGACAGTCATATTTCGAAATCAAAAAAAAAAAGTTTCTATGAAGGACAATTTATTTGTAAATGTTCTAATTAATTTTACATAATTTAAATATGGGTTTTGATATTCAACGCTTTCCACATGGCGTTGATGAAGAATTAATTTGTATGTATTGAAATGACTCATTTTTTTAATATTAAACTTTCAAAAAAATTCTATTTTTTCTAGGTGCTATATGTGGTGGTGTTCTTCAAGATCCTCTACAAGCTCCAACGTGTGAACATGCTTTTTGTCAAGTAAAAAAATTTAAATCGAATTAGATAGAGTTTCTATTTTTCTTTAAATAGATTTGTATAAATGAATGGCTGTCACGTGTACAAACATGTCCTATTGATCGACAATCAATGGAATCAGATCAATTAAAACCAGTACCACGAATACTTAAAAATTTACTTAGCCGGTTAGTTTTCTCGATATTAATTATTGCAAAAACAATCTATTATTTTAAATAGATTGAACATAACATGTGAAAATGAAGGTTGTACAGCAATAGTTAAATTAGATGCCCTTCCAAATCATTTAACTGAATGTGATTTTAATCCAAAGAAATTAATTGAATGTGAAAATGGTTGTGGAATGATGATATCAAAAGATAATATTACTGTAAGAAAATTTTTGATTATTTTTTCCTTGATAGAAAAATATTTTATTTCAACAACAAATAGACTCATAATTGTATACAAGCATTAAGAAATGAATTAGATAATGTTAAAAATGAATTGCAAAAATATCGAACTGATATGGATTTATATAAAGCTGAAGTTCGAACACTTCAGGTAACAAAATTTCAAAAAATCATCTTATTTTTATTATGGTATTAGTTTTTATTTGAAGGAATTCATTCGTGTTCTTCGTATTAATAATCCAACGATATCTCGTGTTTTTGAACGTGTTGAAAATGATGAAATATTAAGGTTGAAAAGAAATGAATTTATTTTCAAGTCATCATTTTGTGTTTTATTTATTATTTAGATGGTCAATTAGTTTACAATTAGCTCGTGTAACACGTTGGGGTGGTATGATATCAACACCAGATGCTGTTTTACAAGCAGTTATTAAACGCGCTTTACTTGAAAGTGGTTGTCCGATAAATATAACAAATGATCTTATGGAAAATGCTCATGAAAGACATTGGCCACAAGGACTTTCAACACTTGGTTAATATAAAAAAATTATTTTTATCTAAAAACAAATCCTTTGATATTTTTTTAGAAACTAGACAATTGAATAGAAGACATTACGAAAGTTATGTTTGCCGGCGTATCATTGGTAAACAAGCAGTTGTTGTACTGGGTTGTGATAATCGACATATGGATCAATTGATGAGTATGATATATACAAAAAGAAAAAATATCTAATAAAATTAAAATTTCTTATTTAGTTGCTGAACCAGGTATTGTAATGATATTTGCACATGGTGTTGAATAAAAAGTGAAATCAAAATATTTATTTCCGTAAGGCGATTATTAGTATCTGTGTTAAATTGTTCGAAATGAATTATGTTCTTTTTCATTCTTTTTTTCTCATAATAAAAAAATCAAAGTGAATTCATAGTTGAATGATCTATTGAAATCATAAAAGTTTTATTTTTTACAAAAATATTATTGAGAGAAATAATTTCTTTCTTTGATAAACAATAAAATTTCAAGCACAAAAAGAAAATCTTGTATGTCAATTTCTATTGTGTTTGTCATTTATGTCAAAATAAACTTCAGCAGAACGTTTTTTTTATAGAATAATATGAATTCATAGATTTCACGTTGTTTATATTAAGAGCTATAAGATCTATACATGTAAGATAATCTATATAAAACATGATTTTTGAATATGTTGTCGATGAATTGTTTATATAATTTGTTTTGTTATTGTCTGCAGTAGTAATATAATCAAGGCTATTAGAGAAAATTTTCTCGTAATTTGCTCTCCAAAATGATATATTTTTCAAGAAAACAAAAGCAATCTCAATATAGAATACTCGATAATTACTCTCCTAAATATATATCATTATTTTATCTATATATATGAATATTTGTTTCAAATCAAGGCTACATATAATTAAATTTATTCTTGTTTATATTTAAGAGTAGTATCAGATGGATGTATAATAAGTGATATGACATTAACTAGGAATATAGAGTATCGATCTATCTCTATGATACATAAAATTCAATTATGAAATAACGACGTATGAACATTATCAAAAAAGTACATTGACATTTAATTTCAATTTTTCTAGTAAGTACTACAACATCAATATTTCGAATGAACATGTACTAAAGAATACAGAGTATGAATATGTCATTAAAATACCTAGATGAACATCCGCCTCTCGCGTTTCATGATTCATATATATGTGTTTGATAGTACTTATATGAGAATAAATGGTCATGGTTGATTGCTTTTTTTTAAATTCAACTTTTTCTTGAATGAATATCAAAAATGATAACGATATAGGTTATTTCTCTAATGATAGATCTTAGTAGTTTATAATGAATAGAAGTTTGATGAATTCTTCTTCATCAACTTGTTCTAGTTATGAATGTGAATTAAGTAATAAACCTATTTTATAGTTATACTGGATTTCATATACTATTCTCTAATAGGCGAAAATTTATTCATAGTTTTTTTTATTTGAAATGTAGTGGAAAAAAGAAATGACCAACGCTAATTCTTTATTGATCTAGGTAATATACGATTAAGATTTACTGATAGTTGATATATATATATATGATATAAATAGATACATTTATTGATTTGTTTATTTCTGCATCAATTTTTACTTAAGACTTTATCACATTCTCCTTGTATTTATTATCTACGATAACAATTATTGTAAAAAATACATAATATATCAAATCCTTGAAAATTTGTTATTGTAAACTCTGTAAAAGCATGTGTAAAAACCATTGAAAGATGAAGATAACATTCCATTTGTTGTCAACAGTATTACAGAGTCGATCGTATCTGACTTAACACAATATGATTAAAAAAATGACTATCTTTTTTTTTCTTCAATATTTCACAATTTATCAAATATACATAAATGACAATAACAAAAAAGAATCCTATAGATGATTATCATAAACTTTAAGACATGGCTTGTGCTGGTCGTTTATTGGAATGAATTCTATCCTTATAATTGATTAGTTCCGTATTCATCGATGCTGTTAAAATACTCACATCAGGTTCTTCATTAAAATCCATCATAAATTCTCCAACTTTTGTTACTATTCCATCTGAATATAATAATAAAGAAAAATAAAAAATAAGAATTTTATTCAATATTAAACTAACTTCGTCCTGGTTTAACACATAATTCATTTTTAAATACTTGTGTTATACAATTTTGTAATCGAAGTATATCACCAATTGCAATTAATTGTCCTGTTGTATTCCAAACATTAAATATAATTGACCCAGTTCGATCTGCTATTTTAAATGAATGAATTTCATGTCCTTCACGTGTTTTTTGCGGGTTAGCTTGTATACGTAAAACAATAACAAGTAAATTGATTTGTCGTTGATTTGGTTCTAATTTAGCTATAACAGTCGTTGGTTCAAATCGATCAGGTGGAGGAAGTTGAACAACAAATGAAGGTGTACTATCATTATCCATTTGGCAAGTAAGTTTTAACAAATGATGTTAACAGCTGGTAAATGAAGACTGTACTTAATGAATGAATAAACAAAATTTGTTCTTATAATCTGAAGGTAAATAATTACTCTTTGAAGGAGAATTTTAAAAAACTAACGGAAATTAAATATTCCGCTATATATTAATATTTTATTTCATATTGAAATTTAAAATGCACTTTTTTCTTCTTCTATGATCTAATATTTAAATAAATTTATGTTTGTATTCAATGAAAGGAAAAAGTCAAAGTAGATTATCTCTATAATTTTGACATGAATATCTTCTATTGGTTAATTAAGATGTCGCTATTGAGAAATAAAATAAATATTTTACTTTAAAATGATTTCGATTTTTCTAAATATCAATTATTTATATGAATAAGAAAATAAAATTTTCTATAGACAAAATTTTATTTTAAATAAACATACATTAAATATAAAATGTAAACAAACAAAAACAAGGTTTCCTCATATATTTGGTTTGGTTCGTTTATCTAGTCGAACTAACTTTTGTTTCCATGGCATGTCGTCAACAGATATTCGTACTAAAAATTATACGTTTGAAATTAAATTCGGTCCCTATCATCAAAAGGTGACCATAACAATGAATCCATTTAATTTAACTATGAATACATTACGTGAAGTTGCTATAAGATTTATTGAAACAATGGTTAGTTTTTGGTTTTTTTTCGAGCAAAAAAAAATAAATCTTGTTTGTTTTTTAAGTGTCCGGATCAGGATATAAAATGTTTGCAGAATAGAATATTATTATTTCGATATGAACCATCATCATATTCAATGATAATACCACTTAATCCACGAGATATTCTTGTTCCGGATACTATTGTTGAAGTAATTATATCACGTAAGTATTTACCAAAAAAAAAAAGTTCAAATGAAATATGTTAGCAATTGAATCTTCTATAGAGGAAATACCTTTTAACAAGAAATTTTTTTTTTGTCTTGAGAGAAGTTTTAACATCTTGAGTATATATGTCATTTTTCTTTTCTTTCTTATCAACATTTTTCATTGAATGTTCTTGTTTAATCAATAAATTAAAAGAAAAATCAAACTAGTTGTTTGAAAATAAATAATCTTTGAGAATTAATATTGTTTTGATAAACATAAATAAATTCGTGATTGTACATATATATATATATATATATACAGTCAATCGGATGTACGTGTAGACGAATGTAAAGTCAAAGTAATAATAATGTTTGTTCTACCAACATCCAAAAAATCCATCTTTGTCGATAGAACTCGTTTGCTTGTTCTAATTGAAAGCAACGAGCGTTGCGCGTATGTGACTGATCATATTTCTAGTTCTATTTATCACTTCTTCTTTTGTGTTTACATAAAATTTTTTGCGTTTTTTGTGCACTCTTCTTATTTTTCATTATCAACATATTCTTTTCTTTATTCTCTGATAGACGTATAAATTTACTTGGTATGTCTTCATTTTTTTGTTTTCTTTTTAATCAAAAGCATGCATTTACTAATGTATATGAGGTTTAGAGAGTGCTTATAGTTACATATTATGTCGATTTGAAGAAAGGCAAGCATTTCCGTTTTTTTTCTCTATTGACTACATATATATATATATATCTAGGTAATAATGTCCTTTTTGTACTTTGTTTCTATTGACAAATTCAATATATGATCTCAATGTGTGATCAACCTTGATTTATATTTCCTTATTTTCTCTTTTGTTCCTAATACAGCTGACAATAACAACGGATGCTTATCGCACGTTTGTTCGTCTTACGGCATAGACACATGCCAATTTAAGTTATGTTGACAATGGCATCGACAACACGTGCTTATATTAAGTGTATTCGTCACACAGGAGAGCTAAAAGTCTAACATGCAAAAAGGGAATGTATATTTGTATATAGTGGCATTTCTGTAACTATCCTTTCATCCGGTATTGTTAGAGTAGTGTCAACTATCAACAAATAATAAAGCTAAACGAGCGATAGAGAAACATAAACGGATCTTTCTCATTTATGTTCTATACGAGAATACAGATCAACAATTTGATAAGCGTGTGTTACCAAAAGGAAACAGAGCAACTTTTGATTGTTACTACTATCGTTGTCATATTTTTAGCATTGATTTAACAAAAACTATATCAGAGGAAAAGAAAACATAGGCAAAGGAAAAGATAGAAAATAGAAAGAAAGAAAGAAAGAAAGAAAGAACAAAAAAAGAAGAAGAAAAAAGATCAGTTTAGTTAGAAAGTATTCTTTTCTTGTTATGATGTTATCCGCTTGTATAATCAAATTAATTATACGGTTGATGAACATCTTCATATTCGTTCAAATATATACATAAATTATATATATCAAAAACTTCACACGTACCTATTTCCGTTTCACTTCTCTTTTTTTAGTATTACGTAAAACTAATATTTATTTATTTATTTATTAGGTGCAAATTAGAAGATAAAAGAGAAACTATAATATTTTTCTTGTTTTCACTATAAGAGACAAAAAGAAAAAAGAAATGCTAATAAGAAATCTTTTTTTTTGCTTTTTCCCTTCTGAGTCAGATTTGATTAATCAATTGATTCATATCTTAGATCCTTCTTAGAAAGCATCACATAAGATTGATTCATTTTTTCTTTTTTCTTTTGTTTTTACCAGCGTACATCATGAGCGAATGCACTCGTCTTGTTCCACATGTACTCAGTTTACATACGTATTTATCACCAACATTTTGTGATTTATGTGGACAATTTTTATTTGGTCTTTATAAACAGGGAATGAAATGTGAAGGTAAATTATTGAAATTTAAAATTTTTTCATTTTTAAAATCTTTTTCAAAATAGGATGTAGCCGTAATTTTCATAAACGATGTGTATCAGATTTGCCTGATAATTGTTCGCCTATGGCAAGAAAAATATCCGATGTGGCATGTTCACACGATGATGATGTAAATATTATTCATATTTGCTATTCATTGAATTCCAAGGGAATTATATAAAAATATAAAGAAAGTGTCAGATGAACTATAGTCTCCTGCTGAAAACTAATCAGATATTGATTAGGAAAGAATAAATGAGAAAATATTTATTTTAATTAACATAAAATGAACTAATAAATTTTTAATAGGAACTAAAAAACAAAGTCATGATTGAAATCTATTGATATTTTTTCTATTATAAACAGGTTGCTAATGATATAAAAAAACGTTTAACATTAACCGGTGCAGAATTACCAACAGCATTACCACATTGTTTCTATATTCATAGTTATCGTTCATTAACAAAATGTTATATATGTAAACGTTTATTAAAAGGTCTCGTTAAACAAGGATACCGGTGTAAAGGTATTTAATTTAATTGAAATATGAATAAAATTATTTTGCTATTATTATTATTAGATTGTAAAATGAGTGTTCATAAAAAATGTATACCAAAAGTAACTAAAAACTGTCGAGGAATGCCAATACAGAGTACTAGTCAAGGTAAAAACAATATGAAAGAGAATAAAGAAAAAAAGAGTTTTTTGTTAAATAGAAGACGATGATTCATCACGTGAAACAAATGATGATTTAGCTGTTGTTGGACAATTACGAGATTTATCACCATCACCAGTAAATCTTCCTCAAGATGAAGAAGATGAAAACGATAATGTTCGTATTGGAAATGTTCGTGCTCAACGTCTTATTCAAAGTATAAAACGTATAAAAAAAGCTGATGGTGGTGCTTTATTTTGGGAAGGTTGGATGATTCATACAACAGATAAAGATTTATTAGCAGAAAAACGTTATTATTGGCGTGTTGATGCTTCGTATGTTTAGATTTAAAAACAAACAAACAAATTATATCTTTTTTTGCTTAGATATATAACAATGTATCAAAATGAAACAACAAATAAATTTTCACGTGAATTAGCATTAGAAAATGTTGTATTACAATTGAATACATCGGAAGAAAGAGGATATTATTTTGAAATAAAAACTGAACAAAATATTTATTATTGTGGATGTAAACGAACAAGAAATCGAGTAAGATTATATATATATTAAAACATGAATAAGAACTATTTGTTCTTTTTCCGAAAAGAAACAAGATCTAACACATTCATCACAACATGCAAGAAATGCATATACACAAATAAGACAAGCATTATTAGCATATAATAATGATGGAAATGAAATCAAAAGTGCATTTACAATAGTTTCATCTCGATCACAAAATCGTGATATTAATGAATTATATAAAATAAATCCTATTGAAGTACTTGGTAGTGGACAATTTGGAACTGTTTATGGTGGACATTCATTAGAAACTTTAGAACAAGTTGCAATTAAAGTTATTGATAAATCACGTTTTAGTGAACAAGAAGAAAAAATTCATCGTGAAGTTGATATTTTACAAGAAATATCACATCCAGGCGTTATTAAATTACATGCAATGTTTGATACACCTGGAAAAGTAAGATTAAATAAATAAAAATGAAAGTTTTTCATTTCGCGTATTTTTAGTTTTATTTAGTTATGGAAAAATTACATTCAGATATGCTTGAAATGATTTTATCTCAACCAATTAAACGTCTTAATGAAAGACAGACAAAGTTTTTAATTTATCAAGTAAAAAAAATGAGATTTTTTGTATTTCTATTTCTTGTGTATAATTAGGTTCTTGTTGCTTTGAGATATTTACATAGTAAATCAATAGTACATTGTGATTTAAAACCAGAAAATGGTTTGTTAAATATGATTAAATAATTAGATATTTGAATTTTTTTTATTTGAATAGTTCTTTTGGCACAAGCACAAGATTATCCACAAACAAAATTATGCGATTTTGGTTTTGCAAGAATTATTGGAGAAAAATCATTTCGACGATCAATTGTTGGAACGCCAGCTTATTTACGTATGCATTTCTTTTTATAACTTAAATGATAAGATCGTCTGAAGAAACCTATAAAGTAGTCTTAACAGTATTGATTTATGTAATTATATGGAAAGTAGATTTCAAGTTGTGAAAATTTCGTATCGTATACGCCTTTACTGTTAAATTCGAATATGTAAAGAATTTATTGCTGCATGATTCGAATACTCGAAATGCTAGTAACATATCTTATGTGATAGAAAACAACATTTTTTATTGTACAAAAACAAAGCATTGATGAATATAAAATAATTAATAGAAATTCTCATGAGAATTTTTGCAGTGATATTTATCTTTTATAGCTCCAGAAGCATTAAAACCTGAAATTCGATTAGAAAAAGGTTATAATCGTTCATTGGATATGTGGTCATGTGGCGTAATTATCTATGTTTCGTAAGTAGAATTTATTTGTTTAAAAATTATAATTGTAAGTTCTATTCTTAGATTAAGTGGTACTTTTCCATTTAATGAAGATGAAGAAATTGAAGACGTAATTATATATATATATATATAAATTTTAATTTGTTTTATAATTATTCTTTCTTTTTTAGCAAATTCGTAATGCAAATTTTATGTTTCCAGCAACTCCATGGAAAGATATATCAAATGAAGGTATAATAAACAAAATATATTTATATATAAAAATAAAATAAACGAAAAACAAACAACATTTTCATTTTCATAGCCTTAAGTTTTCTACAAAGTTTATTAGTATTGGATAATAAGAGACGATTACTTATTAATAAAGTTTTTCTACAACCATGGCTTCAGGTTGAGCCTTTTTATAATAATAATAATAATAAAACTGACTGACTTTGCATGAGTATTTATTGATTTAATGCATGTATAATAATTTTATTTTTTCGATTTTAATTTTATGCATGATAATTCACAATTATTTTAGCTATCGATCTTATTTCACATCATTTGCTTCAAGTCAACGTTGGACATCGATTGGCGGCTGCTAGTGCGTTAAAACATGCTTTTTTTGAGGTGTGTGCATGAGTAATATATTTTTTTTTCTTTCTATTTCTACATTTAATTTTTCTCTGAAAGTAAAAATATATTTACGAATATTTTTCTTACAGGACTATCAATTATATTGTGATTTACGAAAACTTGAAGATTCAAGTGTTTATGAACGTTGGTTAACAATACCTGAAGATGATGATAAATGGGAACAGTATGCAAAAGAAAATGGTTTTATTGAAAAAACTACAACTGGTAAAATATTTCCTTTTTTTTACTAATAAATTGTCATATAAATATATTTTTATTTAGCATCATCATCATTAACATTAACATTTCCAAATAAAAATTTTTTAAATGTTTAATTAAAATTCTCAATAATAGAATGAATATTTTTATTTCTATTGCGTAGTGTCAGATACAACCAAGCAAACTACGCATATGAAAGAAGAAAAAAAACCCGCGTGAATAAAACAAATTAGTCATAATCGTATTTTTGTCTTTATTTTGTTTAGTCATTTCATTTTTTCTAGTGAATCTCTATTTTAATGTCATTTCAGTTCTATACCTGTTGATATAATGTCTGTTTATTTTGTTAAAATTAATCAATTTCTTTTCTTCTTTTATTTTTTGTTCGTATTTTTATGTGTATATGTGATGGTTATAATATAGAAATAAAAATATGGGATTATTCTTGTATTTGTGTGAATTATTTTTTCTTTTTTGTTTAAATTCCAGATGTCATCAATAATAAAACGAACTTTAAATGATTTAACAAATGAAAATAAACGTTTAAAAAATGATTCAGCTATTGATTTAAATTTTGATAATGAAGAATTAAATATGAAAAACTCACATTCTTCATATTCAAAATCAATATCATCTGGTAGGACCAAAAAAACTCAATTGAGAATTTTTTATTTTATTTTAAATAGAATCATTGATCGAGAATGATTCAATGTTTGATGATGATGTTTTTGAAGATGAACAAAGTATGACAAAATCTTTATCAAAAATAAATCAACGTTAGTTGAATAAATTTTTTTTTAAATTTTTTTTTTAAATGAAAATATTTTAGATCAAGGTCGAAAACGATTAAATGGAACATCAACATATCGAATAAAAGAAAATAAAGATAAACGAAAAAGTAAATCTCTTAAAAAAGACCATATTATAGTTGATCAAACATTAAATCAATTACTTGAAGAACAAGCTCGTATCGATGCTCATTCACTCTCAATTCATTCCAAAGGAATATAAATTTATTTCTAAAAAAACAATCGAAAATTAAAATTTTCTCTATACATATTATCTTATCGTTTAGTTATTCTTTTTTTTCATTTGTTATGTATGGATTGATACAAATTGTACTAGTTTTCTTTTTTTTCTTCTTTATCATAAGAGTCAGATCGACATGTGTGAATTGTATATGTGAAAGAATGTTGGTGATGGAATATTTATATTTATCTATTAAAATGAAAAAAGATTTGTAAATAGATATTTTAAAATACGAAGAAATTCATTGATAAAAAAAAGGATGTCAATTTTGTTGTCTTGTTATGTAGTCATATTCTTCTCATTAGATCTATCGTTTGTTAATGGTATATTTCGTTCATAAAATAGTAAAAGCTAAATGATTAAATAATGATATTGTATGTCAAATATATAAACAGTTTCTTTTTTAGTTGTCGGTTACAATATATACGAATCTAACTATTATTTTCAAGTTACGCTTTGTCTAATATAGAAGAATCTCTTAGTATTTTTTACTGTAGTTTGATCAACTATCTTGAAGTTAGTCTAGCTTATAAATATGATGTTAATTTATACAATGATTAGGATCCTATGGAACCCTGAAGATAAAGATAATTCTCATTGATCATATATGAATGTTTACAATACAAACTATCTTTTAATATTGTAATTTCATAAGAAGATAAAAAGGCGGATATTGAAAACCATCAGGATCTACATTATCATTTTTTTTGAATAAACAATTAGCGTGCTTTAATAAGTTATAGTAAGTATGAGTGCACCTCAATGAATATCAATAGACTAGTTAGTTTTAGTAATTTTTGATGAAGTTTAATACGGTCGAATAGACCTATTGTAGGAGCCAAGATCCACTTTTACTTTTATAAAATATTTGATAAATAGCTATTAATATCATCCAATAATATTTAATAACTATGAATAGTTACAAAAATCGATCCGAAAACTTATCGATAGAAATTATGTTGATTCATCTTCATTAGATTGATGAGGTATATTTTGCTTCCATTGTTTAAGATCTTCTTTTGGATCATAACTTTTAAGTTCTTCAAGAAATTCATCAGAATATATTTTCAATGCATTATCAAAAATCTGTATTATCTCTTTCATAGATTCTAATCGTTCGACTTTGTTTACAGAATTATCTTGCTTTTTTTTAAATAATGATTTTTCCTTGATTAATAATTTCAGTTTTTCTTTGATTGATGCTTTTAGTTGATTTACAGTTGGATGTTTTTTCAAATTTCGATCTTTCGTTGAATTGATTACTCTCAAGACGATATCACTGTCTTGCTAATTGTTGTTCTTCCTCTTTCATTTTATCTAAATCTTTGATTTTTTTAATAGGGTCGAATTGTGCTTTATTGAATTACAAGCTTCTGTTAATTCTTCAATTTCTTCAATAAAATTCTCGACTTGGAAAAACAGAATTTTCGAAATGTTGCCATATATTTTCATATTCTGTTATATTAGATTGATTACTTTCGTAGAATTGATACCATTTTTGTTTCCAGTTTTCGATTTTACTTGAAGAACTCGATAGAATTTCAACCATTTCTTTTAATGCTAAACGTTGAGCATTTTGTAGACAAATATCTTTAATAACAAATCAGAAATTTTAAATAAAAAGAAAAACGCAAAAAATTTGTTTTTATTCTTACTATTCTTTTCTAATCGAATAGCAGCTAATCAATCAAGACGACACAGGTATTGACATAGTTGATTGTTCATATCCAAGACAGCGTAAATGCATAGTGATTTTCTATACAATTTTTTACACTTTAGTAGGACATATGATCATTCGTTTTAATATATTCTACGTATTGTTCAATATTTTCTTTTATTATAATGATAAAGATGTAGTGTGAATATATATAAAATATTTTTTATAACTTTTCTTTCTTAATACACGAACAGATGATGTATATTTTCAAGAAGTCAATAAATCAATAATTTTCCCCAGTGATCAATCAAAATAGCTGTTGGTTTTAATGTTTAAAAAATTAATTTTATGATATGATAAAAACCATTCGGAAATCGCCAACTTTTACACGGCTTTCTTACATTTCTGGCATATTAAGATTTTTTCAACATATAAATAAAGTATGGCTCTTACATAAAAATAAGTATCAGATGGTGCGTGTGGATAGGAATAAATCTAGTATATCCCATACTCACTCTCATGCTACTCTGGCTAAAGACTCCCGTCAATGTTCACGATGTGCATCACGAAAAGCACTAAGAGAAGTTGCTGTTTTATACGATCAGAAAGAATTCTAATTCATCACTCATGCGAAAATACTGTTTTGCTCAACTTCTTATATTTAAAATTCAAAAAAAAATACATAGTTGACATAGACAGGCAGCACATCTACAATAAAAATATACTTTAGGCCAAAGTTCACGTAGAAAATAAGGACGAAGTATTGGAGCAACTGAAGCATAATTATTATGTGTGTGCTTTGCAGTTTGCCTCTTCAACTTCACTTTTACTGTCTTTTTCACTTTCTGTCCAAAACCGGTAAGTGTTCTTTGCAACAACTCTTGATAATTTCAAATATTGTATCATAAGATGGGTCCCAAAGCGAATCTTTGCCTAGTTTTTCTTTAAATTCTTTGAGGATTCGAACACTATTAGCTTTCCACATTTCTTCATGATCTTGGCGTAGTGTTTTTTTTAATTCTTCTAGGCCTCCAGCACGATCAGCTTTCCACATTTCTTGATAATCTCTGCGTAGTTCTTCTTTTAATTCTTCGAGGACTCGAGCATTATCAACTTTCCAGATACCTTCATAATCTTTACGTGCTTTTCGCTTAAAAATTTTTGCAGTTACCAGTCCAAAGATTACTACAACAGCGAATATAAAGACATTCTTCCACGATCCAAGTATTAACTTAACTGTCTCAGATAGCCGGTTACCAACCCATTTACTTCCTAAATATACAACGCCATCAACAGATGAAGTTTTTGTCCAGTCAAGCTTTTCAGTTTGAGTTATATATGTAGAAACAATATCATATTTTCCATTTCGTTTTTCAGCACACAGAACATAATCCTTCTTTGCCGTTGTCGGTGAAATTGAATTTATATTGCTATCACTCAGCAGGCAGTTGGAGTCACCATCGTTTTTATCTTCCAAAGTTTCCAATGCCTTGAGATACAATTCTTTTAATGTTGAGTCTTCGCATCTATTGGCTATCAAATTAACTTCCTCTGATAGAAGGCCTTCATTTAGACTCCAATCTCGATTATGGTGGTAATGTATTCCAGATATAGAGTCCTTCGTGTTTCTTAAATTTTCCAAATATGATTCTGCTTTCTCCACTAGCCGCCGTGACTTTTGAATACATTTGCAGAACGGGACGAGTAGAGGCAAAATCAAGCAGATTAATAGAACACTTTTCATCATGGCTTTTTTGGCAGAAGTAATGCGATGAAAAATAATAAGGAGAACAGAGAAAACAATAAAGTTAATAAAAACCTGCCACGTAGCACACAAACGAAATAAAATTATGAAATTTCCCAGACTAGCATGACGTATTTAAAAAATAAAGATGATGGTGCAACAAAAAAACCCAGTCACGAAGAGAGAAGAAAGAAGTAAATATTTAATCACTAGGAAAAAAACCGTATAAAAAACCAATCATGCAGAGAGAAGTAAATTTTTCATCACTAGGAAAAAAAAGCTTATATAAAAAAAAGTAAAAATGTTTTTATACTTGGTAAGAAATATGCAAAGATAGATTCAAAAGTTTTTTGGTGAAAATGTCTCTTAAAACTTACAACAACATCCTACTATCACTTACATTTCTTATTGTCAACTTATATTTAGTGGTAGAAACACAACAGGCCATTTCTGTTCATGACATTTCTCAAGATGAAGTTACAAAATATGTAGACGTCGTTGAAAAAAGTAATGGTCTTTTTTCATTAGCTAAAGAATCGTTTCACTTTGATTTTAATGTATATCGCGGTATTACTGATGTAGAATTACCAACAATTGGTGGGAAAATTTCAGATGAATTATTAAAAAACCTCGTCAGTCAAATAGTATTACTTGGAGAAAATGGCGTAAAATATGCAAATAGAACTTTGGACAATGAAAAAGGTTTCAAAACAGCGTTTTTAGCATTTCGAAAAGATCGTGATGGTAAATATGATGTAGTTTATTGTACAGCCAAACAAACTAAAGAAATCAATTGGAAAAAAATTGGGTATACAACTGTTATTGCAGGTACTACGGCCTTAGCTATGTCAGTGGCAATGCCTGGTGTGGGATTAGTAATCGGAGGTTTAATTGTTAGTGGAACAGCTGCTATAACTGCGGGTACAGCAACTACTCTAGGCTGTTATCAAAATTATATGGACATGCAAAATGTTATTCTAGGATACATTGGCAAAGAATTATCAGACAGAAAATTATTGGTGTTAACTTAGTGTGACTATAAGTTGTCAGATGTTCAGTTATTATGTGTTGTGCTTGAACGTTGTTTTCTGAATGTGTAATCGTAAACGAATTCCACAGCAAAACATACTCTGCGAATTTATTTTTATTTTTTTCTTCACAATCAAGAACAGACCTAGTTTTGTCCTTCCCTAAGTATAACTGAACGATACGGACAATTTTCTTGTGTTTTTTTTACATTTGGGTGTGGTAAGAAATAAAGAATGCATCTAGATCCGGGACAAAGCCACATTTACACCTGAGTTCTTTCTTTTCTTTCCAGTTAAGAAATAATATTAGAAAAAAAGAACTAAATATTGACAGATCATGTGTTCAAGTCGGAATACAACTATATTTGATTATTGATAATTAAAAAACAATAACACGAAAAAAACAGTAAAGGTTTGTATAGTAGAATGAATCATTTATGGATCGTGTATTTCATAGAATTTTAGTCTGATAAAATTCACACAATGGCTACCATTGTCTCTTGTATTCAGCAGTAATGTTTCCATTAATATATAGACATCAAACGTCTTTTGTATCATCTGCTTTTGATTCTTTAATATTTATAGCAAGTATAAGACTAACATCAGTTATTTTCAATACAGCATCCACAATAAATACCGTTACTAATATTATCCAAGCGTGTTATGATTTCTAGAAAATAAAATATTTTAAAATTCAAAATTTACACGGGAAAAATATTATGTTCTTAAATTTTTATTTCTAGATTTGCATCTGATTTATTTTAAATATAAAAATTATATGAATGTAAATTCTGAAGTCTTATTTTGTTAGATATCTATTATATGATTGACCGACAGTTGCGCGCGGACATATACACGCACGACACTTACGCGCTCGACGCTTGCGCGTATAATAAATTTGTTTTCGTTCTGTTCTCATTTAATTGAATTACTCATGTATTAACAGAAATAAAAATGTACTGTTAGTGAGACTGGATTATTAAGAAAATACACAGAAGATATTAATGAGAGTCAAAAGATTATGTGATTTTAATATCAAACTTGCTTTTTGCATCAAAGTGAGATTAAACCTAAACAAAATAAATCAGATAAAAGTATAAAGAGGAAGTATATATATATGTGCGTATTATTTTAATAATTTCTAAGATATAAATGTCTCTTCTAAAATCAGTCAAAAGCAAAGAACAACGCACAAAATATGAAAAAATTGATCTTCGAATACGAAACATGCTCAAAGAATTTCATACTGTTTCAAGGAACGACTATTTTAAAATGACCAGATTAGTGTTTAATTTTTGAACGAGTACATTCTTTATTCTCAAATATTGTTCACTTAACGTATGTGTTTGTATATTGTAAATAAATACTATTTATCTGTTAATAATTTATATCAATATATTTTTTGAACGCTCAGCTATCGTACGCGTAAGTGTTATGCACGTAAATGTCGACACGTAAGTATCGTGCGCGTATATGTCCGCGCGTAATTGTCGGTCAATGATATTTTGAAATAAGAGAGAAAAAAAAAGATCTTTCATTTCACATGATTGGTAAGGATGGCAAATTTATTTATTTCTTTTATGCTTTTACACTATTCCTTTTTTGTGACATTTCGATATGGCGGTAAAACTTATTCATAATCGATTATTAAATAACATAGGTATACACATACATATGTAAAAATAGTTGGCAATCAATAACATTTTACGTACTAACATGATCATGTATTTGTCTGACGAACTACCAACTACTACTTCGTACCAAAAAGTCCTTGGATGTGGATGTATCATTGGAGGAATTCTCTTTTTTATGTACTTTCAAATTCAACAAAAACCAGTCAGTTTTATATGGAAACCTGTTCAAGTTTGGTATACACCAGAACAGAGAATTAAACGACCCACATATATTAATCAAGATCATGCTTTTTGTGGTCCTTGTCCTGCTGATAAACGCTTTTCAACTGCTTGGCAATTGACTGATCTTGTTACACTTATTTCACCAAAAACTCCATTTCTTCTCAATATTGGTGCTGGAACAGCAGATGGTGGAATATATGATCCAACTTATCCACTTCTTACAAATTTTACTCCACTATTTTCTGCACTTCTTATTGATCCTAGTACAAATCCATCTCATTTCAATGCTTATCCTAATCGATCAAATATTCATATTATACATGATTATATTTGGAGTGAAACTATCGTTGAAAATATTCTACAAAAATATAATATTTCAAAATATTTTACACTTCTTAAAGTTGATATTGATTCATATGAATGCTCATTACTTCAAAGTATTCTTCAATCTGGTTATCAACCACAAATAATTCATACTGAATTTAATCCTATTTTTGCACCACCTGTTATTTTTATACCTATTTATAATTCAACAACAAAACATGACTGGAATCCACCACTATGGTCAAGTAGTGGTCCATTTTATGGATGTAGTTTATCTGCACTTTCAAAATTATTATTATCATTTAATTATACATTAGTTGAACTAGATTTTTGGGATGTTATATATATAAAACGTGATATTGTTGAATTAATTCAAGTTCAAGTACCTTTGAATGATAAAGTTGCATATGAATATGGTTTTATGAGTCATTCATGTTTTGCATACTGTCGAGGAAATGTCAAACTATATAATGAGCATATAGATGGTGCAATAAAAACTGCTTTAAATCAATCAAATTTTACAAAATATATGACAAATATTATCGATTTATTTGCTCCGGTATCAAAGAAAACTAATTTAAAACATCCATATATTATTAGTATATAGCATATTGTATTAGTTTTATCAAATATTAACATTCAATACTGACTCAATACATACTATTTTTATCTAGGCAATCTAAATGAAATTATCGAATAATAATTATAAATTATAAATACTAATTCATACTAATAAAGGTTTCAGAATATTTTATAATCTTATAAAAATACTGGTATGTTATAAATAAACTTTTTCAAACGTCATGCAATAATATTTTGACTAAACCATGATTAGCTTTTCTCAGACGTTAGATTATCTGGTGTATTCTGACATTCAGTACTAAATGCTTGTCTACCTTCATTAAACCTCTAAAAATTTCAGCTCATTTGAAAAAAACTAAAACAAATATAAATGGTGTAACATGATAATAAACAAGAGAAGAAAAATTTGGAGTGTCTGTTTGTTCTCTATCAGACATTTTGATGTACCCAACAGAAAAAAGACCTGTTCCAATAGGCTTATCATTTTGAAGAAAGATTGTAACGTAATAATGATCTCGTGATTTAATGACAACAGTTTCTGTTAATAAATTTTTTTCCTATATACAGATAAGATACTATTTTTATTTCCATCATTGATCTAAGCACATGTTAAATATATATTCTTACACTTTATATCGTGCTCAGTCGAAATAAAAGTATAATATTGATAATAAACATAGAGAATCTACTAAAAAATTGTATCATCAATTTTTATTATATCGCTTCAATATAAAATTCTCCGGTTTATTTTGGAAAGAATAATAATTCAAAAATATCTAGATATTTAGTTGTAACTTTATCTTTTGAATTTATAAAGAAAATTACATAATAATTCTGATTCATTACCTATGAATTATAGTATATTCATTTCCTTTTCTTATTTTTCTTGTCATTACTTTAATATTATCCTTGTTCATCATTAAAACATGACATAATATTACAGTCTATTTTATATTTGACAAATGAGATTTTATATCTGTCAGATTTGAAATGAATATGACACTTCATTATCAATAAGATCATATTTAACTAAATATCTTTACGGAAACTTACAAAAAAACTCATATACAATTTCAAATAAAACCTATTCATTATCAGATTATTTCTACTATTTTGCATTCAATCAAATTTCTTAATTAGCGTCTTTTTTAGATATAAAATTATGTATCAAAAATACCTTAAGGGTCTAAATTATCATGAAGAATATAATTACACAACACGTGTAACTTTTTTATATTATGATAATGAAGGAATTAAATTTATTTTCAACAACATGAGAAATCCCATTAAATACGTTTTTTATAATTTGTAGATTGACTATTAAATTCGAAGAGAAAAAGAAGCACTATTAACAATGAATACCTTTTCCTATGAAAAAAAGAAGTACATTCTTTATTAAGATGAATGCATTTTCCGCCCCTTCTGTCAGTCAGTATAAGAAACACTACGCTACTTCTCAAAAGAAGAAAAGAAGAAAATTTTTCCTTCACGACTATCTTTTTTTATATCCTTTAACATGCTTTTATCTGTCATTTTTCTTTTTTTCACAGCAGATTTTTTTCTATGGTTTATCTCTATAACTACATTGTAGTATATTTCTCATTTTCTATAGTTTTTCAAGTCCATCGGTACCCATCCATAACATTTCTTTATTGATGAAAACTTACAAGTGATATTTATTTTCTACGATAAATTAACTTTTTTTGTTCAACAATGATGATAAAAATAAATATCTATGAATCATCTAAACGTTCTTCTTTTTCTAGGTATTCTCTTGTGAATGAAGATGAAATCTAAATCAATCCGATTATATCAATATCTTCGATTCACTATGAAACAATATTATTTAATAATTACATTTTTAATCGTTCTAACGACTAGTATTATTATGTATATCAATAAATGGCGAAGTGGATTGAATTTTACAAATAAACATGCTTATTTTCTATATCTTAAACCAAAAGAAATAAACTCACATAATGATTTAATTATATCACAAAGCCAATTTGATATTGTTATTAGTTATTATTCGGAAGATATTGATTATGTTGCACAATATATTCGATATTTACGAAATGTTTCAAATTTAAAAAAATTTAATCCTCGAATTATTGTTTATAATAAAAATTCCAAAATTAATAATGAAGTTTTGAAAATTCTTTTAGATGCAGATATTATTCAATTATTACCCAATTTAGGACGAGAAGGTGCAACATATCTTTATCATATTATTCAAAATTATCATAGAATTGCTAATCATACAATTTTTTCTCAAGCTGGTGTTGAAGGTATTACTAATAATGGTTTAGCTAATTGGTATTTAGATCGATTAGAAAATCAATTCAATTCATCAGTTGGATATATGCCACTTGTAAATAATCATATGATAACAACTTATGATTGTGGTTTACATCGTACAGGAAATTTTCCAAGAATGGTACAAATGTGGGCTATGCTTCAACATAGTTTATGTCCACCAGGTGGACAAGCAGTAAGTTCAAATCAACTGAATGCATATCTAATAATACAAAATTATATTTATTTAGGTTGCTTTTCGAGGTCAATTTCTTGTAAGCAGAAAACGAATACAAAATCGTGATTTAGAAATTTATAAATATATGTATGATCTTATAACAGTAGGAAAATAGTTTTTTTTAATCCTAATTCTTATTTGTCTTTTCGTAAAGGCTAATAGTTCTCATTGGCTTCATCGTGATTTACGCTCTCTTTTCTTTAAATCAACACCAGATAATCCAATATTTGGTCATACAGTTGAACGTACATGGACTGTTTTATTTAAATGTTCTAAACCTGATCTACACGATCGATGTGAAAGAAGAGAATGTGCTTGTTTTGATGAATCTTAAATTATATTTTTACATTTTTTATTATTACTCTAAGTTTTATTTATTTTTTCATTATCAAGTACAATAAAACAAAAAAAACGAAAGAAATATAGCAACAACAATACAATAGTCATTCACACTAAAATTAAACAAATCAAATTTCATCAATAAGATCACTTAAATCATCATATTGACTTAGTAAAGTATCAGTTTGATTATTCGATAAATCATTTCCATCATCTGTAACAGCTAATTGTTCCATAGCATTTAACATATTTTCATTATCTGTTTTAACATCAACTATAGATATTGTATCACTTTCAATTTTAATATCATCTAAACAAATTGTTTCATTTGTTGTTGATGTCAATGCATTATCAACTGATATAATTGGAATTGGTTCATTAGGTTTTAATTGTCGAATACCCTCTGGTGTCATACCAATAGCAGCAGCAGCTGCTTCTTGTAATTGTCTTTCTTTTCGAATAGCAGCATTAGCAAGAGAAGCTGTTGATTTCGGTTTTATTTCAATATTTGGATCTTCTTCAAAATCTGATTTTAACCAATCAATCATATCTATAAAAAGAAATACACTACTATGATTTGGATTTATTTGATGTACAGATATTTCCGTTGGATCAATTGGATCAGGTTCATCAATTAATTCTTCTTCTTTATTATATTTATAATCAATTGAACTTGATGCATAACGTTGTTGATGTACACGATAATGATTACGTAAACGTGTTGCTGACGGAATATATTGTTTACAAATGGCACATATACGTGAAGAAAGTTTTGATTGTATTGATGGACAAAAGAAATCAAATGGTAAAAGTAATTTTTTTGTTCCATCCATAACAATACCATGAAATTGTATACGTTGATATAATGTACCATAATAAGGTGATATGGGATGCGTTGTAGCAATTGATTTTTCAATATCAGCTAATTGAACACCATTGGATAAACGATCAAATGGTACAGGTGGTGGAAGAAATCGATGAGGAAATACTTGAATATAATTTGAACGCCATGGACCACAACATTCAGGTTTCGTACAACGAATTATTTGAATTGTATATTGAGTTTGAAATATATGTGTGGCACACCAATATCTTAAAGATTAAATTTTATAAATAAAAAAATAATCATATTTAAATTATACATACTCATCAATATTATAATCTGGTCTATCTTGTGGATTTATCATTGAATTTAAATTTGAAGCCGATCGATGACGATTATAACGTAGATGAAGTGGAGTTTCTTCTTCTTCATCACAAATTCTAAAAAATATATCAAAGATTCTAACGCTCATAATCTCAAAAAGATCTTACTCATCAATAGCAGCATTTAATACAAATTGAGTATCAATTAATCTAATCATATCATCAATTGTGGAAGGTGGATCAATATATTCTGCAATAACTGGATGTGAATCAATTAAATCCATACTCCAAACTTCTCCAAGAACTTCACCGGCTTTTTTAATATTCATTTTTTCGACTTCGGCATCAATTGTTAAACCACTAATATTTAAATGTGTACCGAAATAATCATGTGGTAAAACTAAACCAGTTAAATTTTGTGATAAATTTGCTAAACGTCTTTCAACAATATTCAAAGATGTTTGACCCGGTGCTTGTGTTATAATAAAAAATGCATCTAAATTATATTTTTTAAATTTATTAATTGCTGATACAAGTGTTCGCGGAAAACGTGTATAATCATTAGGTTCAAGACTATCGACATTCATAATAATAATTGGTTTAATAACTCCAAGATGATTACGAGCTGTTCGATCAAATTCTTTTAATTTAACAATACAATCGAAATCCATATCTTCACTTTCACATGTAAATTGATCATGTTTAGCTGATCGAATCGATATATATGTTGGACCTGAATATCCAACAAGACCGGCATCATCAATATTACATGATGCATAAACTCTGTAAAGAAATAAATTAGTTTTTAAAAGAAAGAGAAAAAAGAAAGTATATATACGTTGGTTTAAGTTGATGCGTAACAGGAGGTGGCATAACTGTCGAATTAGCTGTACTTATTTGATAATCTAAATGCATGATAAAAGGTGAATGTCCACGAGCGGCTGGTCGGCCAATTCTAACTGAAGATTTTCTATCTTGAATAAGATAGAATACACATTCATTACCAAAAGTACCGGCTAAATCTTTAATATGTCGTAAACTTGCAGTTACAAAATGACAATCTATAATTTAATTATAAAGAAGAGAGTTTCGTTTTTTTTTTGTTGAAAATTATTAACCTTCATGTTTTGGTAATTCAACACCTTGTAGTTTTCGTAAACGAACAGGTACTGAATTGACATGTCTTTTTCCATCTTCTGTAAAAATACCAGATGGGATAAAACTAGAAAAAAAAAATTATTTTTAATAATTTTAAAAATTTGATTTCTACCGATAAAAAGTTGATGATCGTCGAATTTCAAAACCACGTTCTTTGATTTTTGATCGTAATTCATCTAATGATGAACATGGTGTAATAGTAAGTACTCGAGGATTTGAATCCGTTGCACCACCAATACGTGCAATTTCTTCCATTGTTTGTAATAAATCAGGACAAATATTATCAATTTGTACACGAAGTGTAGTTGGTTGATAGAGTCTCATAAGTTCAGCAGCAACTTCAGGATCAGCAGCACATATAGATTCTACACAACGTTTTTTTCGTTGACGATAACGTGCTGATGAACGTTGTTTCGATTGTAAACGACTTAATTCAGCTGTACGTTCTTTTTTTTGTTGAAGTAATTTTTTTAATGTCATACTTGAATCTGATGATGATAAACCCATATTTTTAACTTGAACTAAACTAGCAATACGTTCAGATATTTCTTTTATTTCTGATATAACAGCTTCTTGTGCAGGTGTTTTTATTCGAATTTCAGCAAGTTGACGTCGTGCTGCAATTTTCGCAAGACGTGCTTCAGCTCGTGCTTTAGCTCTTTCCAGTGAAAGAGCAACCCATGGTTTATTTGGATCATTAAATTCAGTTGGTTGTGTTGCATCACGTACTGAAAATGTTGGTTCAATAGGTGTAACAAGTTCGAATTCTAAATTTGGTTCATAAGGTTCAATTTCATCATCGGATGATAAAGTTCGTTTTCGTTCATTGTTTGCTGGTGCAACTGGTTTTTCTTGTTTCTTTTCAGTACTAATTGTTGATTCATCTGTATTTTCTTTTTTATCGGATTGTTTAGAAATTTCAAGATATTTTTCAATTTGAGTTTTAATTAATTGTTCATTAGTTTTTATTTTAGTCCATTCAAGTTGTGAATTGTAATGACATGCCTATGAAGAAAAAAAATATTATTTTCTATTAAATTATTATTTATATGAAATATATTTACATATTTTGTCATACCAGGATGACCTTTAATAAAAGCATCCATAAAGGATTTGTATAAAGCAAGTTGACAATTTTTTGTACTCATTGTATTATTATTATTACCTTAGGAAATCTATAATAAATAATTGTGAAATTATAGTCAATATTTGTAACTAAGATTTTCTAAATGTATTTTTTTGCTCGAAATTATTCATTCTCTTTCTCCTAGAGAAGAGTCTTGCAAGGATAAATTGTCTGCTAGATTACTTGGTTGTGTCCGCCCTTCACTGATTGATTCAAAAATTAGATAAAGATATAAAAGGATTTTTGCTATAAGGGTTGATCGAGGTCGAGGTATCCAAATCTAACTTCTGTTTTATTGGTTACATAAATCAATAGCTTGATAGTTGTTTGGTAACGCGATTTCTACGAAAAAAAACTAAGTTAGTCTTTAGACGAGCGTTACTAGTTTCAAGTTGTGAAAAAAAGTTATAACTTTAATGATTGCTTTCATATCAATTAAACAGATCCATTTCTACGATCATTCTAGTCTTAAACTAAATTTAACAATGTGAAACTTTTAATTAATAAGAGAGAATACGCTCGCTATAGTAACTTATAGAAATATCAGAATTTTTCTTATTCTTGATGGCAATATAAAATTACAGGTCATAGTATACATTCAATGTCTTTCTCTTCTAATTTTGTGCTTCTTCATGGACGAATAGTTTATAGATGTGTATATTGCAGAGAACGCAAAAGACACTTTACCTATCTCTAACTTAATGACCGCGAGTCGATATATGAACACGAAAAGAAAAAGAAGAAAATGTACTGTTTTGTTACTTATCGACACGATGTATATCAAGCTCAACAAGGTGAAATCATAAATCAAACATTCATATCATTAAAACTTATAAATCAAAGCTTTTTCATGATACCATTTTTTTCTAGTTCTCACTAATAAAATTTTAAACTATATCATCATTGAAATTTTTCTTCTTATTTAATTCATAAAATGATAAACATCAATAAGATTATTTTTTTCTCTCTATTAAAATCAACTCAGTGATGAATCTTAATGTTCTTGTAAAATTTTATTCCACAATTTGTCACTATTAACTTTTCAATCCACATCCGGTATTATATTACTTGTAAAAAGTATCAAAAATGTAACAAAGAAATAAACTTTTACTATAAGACACTATTAAATTTAGTTCATAACCAAAAGCTCAATTATTTAAACAGTATTATATATATATATTTTGCTATCATTCGAAACTAATTTAATACGATTAATAATTTACATTTTAAACTTATTCATATATGAAGCATAAAAATACCCATCATCTATTAATTTAAACATTACTTACCAACAGTATGAGTGAGACACATGCATTGATGAGAAAATGAAAAGTATTCGTTTTACTTGTGTTCAGTAATATACAACACAGTATATTGAAGAACGAAAAATGGTGATGTGACCGTACGGTGACCCTTTTTTGATAAAGAAAAGTAAAAATAGAATACGATTGGTATTTACTATTCAACAAGATTGAAATGATATGAAATAAAAGAAACCTTCTTTTTCTTTTCACGAAAATTTAATGTATTTAATAAATTTTGTCAGTAACATCTCTTTAGACTTTTATTTATTATATGTATACGAGTGAATGAGAGTCATCGAATACTTACGATTCGATGTGTTACCATGGAAATAATATATTAACATTGATAATTTTTTTGAATACATATAGAATCAAGTATAATGAAATGAATGAATTTATGATAAAAGTACAAATAATTCATTGGATTTAACATTCTATTGTTCAGAAAAAGTCGTTATTATAAACTTCTTTACCATTTAAAGTTATCCTATGAGTTATATATATCGGTAATAACCTAGATAATTTGTAAATCGACTCATTTCTTTGTCGATACAAACTATTTCGCTCTGACAACTTTGTGAACAAAGATATTTACTTTTTTCATACATACATTTTCATTACTGACATTGGTGATCAATAAATTTAAGTTTTTATTTATGAATTTTCTCGTTCATTTCCCTTCGTGATTACACGGATATTAACAATAAGAAATCAAATACAATACACCTCATTAAATTCTCTTTATAAATATAATTAAACCTATGATCTCCATAATATTTATAATGTAGACAATTATACATATAAAACTGTTTATATGTTATATTAATGATGATTGTTACAATAACAAGAAAAGAATATTATCAAATGTTTAGCAATTAATTATAACTTTGAATCCATCTCATTTCAATGTTTATCCTAATCGATGAAATATTTATACTGAATTGAATCCTCTTTGTGCATTCCGAAATATTGTTGAATCAATTGAAGTTCAAGTACCTTTGAATGATAAAGTTGCATATGAATATGGTTTTATGAGTCATATTCATGTTTATTCTACTGTCGAGGAAATAAATTGTATAAAAACTTTTAAATTAACTAAAATTTAAAACTTATTGGATATAGAACATATTCAGATATAGATCCATCATATAACTGAAAAGTGAATAGGAATCTAATGACATCTAACATGTATTGTTGGCATCATAGATGTCATATTCATCGTCTGATAATATATATGATATTATAAAAATAGATTTGAAAAATAATTTTTCAAGACATTCTTGATTATTTCATTTTTATTAATATTTTATTTTCTAAACTAATATTACATGTTAAGAGGTACTTTTATATAATCTTATTGGTTAATATATGACAATCAATCAAAATAAAGCAAAGAATTCAGTAAACAAAGGCTAACCATTTTACAATCATTTTTGTGCATCTCTATAAAACTTTTTAAAGGTATCTACTCTCTTGAAAAACCATGTCTTCGAATGAAGTACAAAATCCTGTGAATGAGGAATCAAATGAAGTATTGTATGTAGAAATATTTTCATTCTTCATTTCATTTTTCAATGATTTTAGAGAACAAAAATATTTTCAATCTCGTCCAGAAACTTATAATGGTGCTGAACGTGATCTCTATTTATGGACACAAACCATAAATGATATTGATGTTCGAGTTAAAGTAAAAAATTCCTATTTCAATGAATAATTTGATCTACAAAAAATCTATTATTTAGATTCCAAAAACTATTAAAAAAGGCAAAGAAGTCAAAGTAAATTTAACTAAACAACATATAAAAGTTGATATAATCGAATCGAATACATTCAAAACAATTATTGATAGTGATTTACCATGGGCAATACGTGCTGAAGATTCTACATGGAGTTTAGTACCTGGTGAATATATTCTTGTAAAAGAATTTTTCTTATTTTATTTTTTTTCTAAACAAAAATTTTTCTCATCTAGATTTCAATGGAAAAAGCATTGGAACGTTGGTGGGAAAATGTTTTAGTCGATGAAAAAAAAATTAATCTTAAAAATATTCAACCTGAAAAATCTATGGAAGATTTAGGTCAAGAAGAACAAATGAAAATTCATCAAATGATGTATGATCAACGACAAAAAGCGATGGGTTTACCAACATCAGAAGAACAAGTTAATAGAAAATCTTTTTCTTTTATCAATTATTTTCATAGAATTTTAATTTAGAAATATCAAGATATTATGAAACAAGCATGGAATGTTGAAGGATCACCATTTAAAGGACAACCTTTTGATCCCTCTATTGTTGAATCGATGAGAAAAGCTGAATAATTTATTTGTAATGTTTCTTTTTTCAGATGGATGAAAAACATAAAGCTTTTAGAAAACCAACGACAGGTGTGAAAGCAGAACGACGAAAGAAAAAGAAGAAAGAAGAAGATGAAGGAGATAATCAACAATCATCATCATTAAAATCATCGAAATTAGAAGATGCAAAACGACGAAATCCAAAAGCATTCAGTATACAAAATCCAATAAAAGCACAACAAGAATTTCGACGAACACAAGATCTTAAAGAAAAACGTATTCATTTACCAGAAGTTGATCGAACACCACTTGAACCACCACCAGTTGTTGTTGCTCTTGTTGGTCCATCACAAGTTGGAAAAAGTTTATTAATGAAATGTTTAATTAAAAATTTTACGCGACAAAAATTAACTGATATTCGTGGACCGGTTACAATTGTTTCAGGTTTGTTTAATAGAAAAAAATGATTCCAAAAGAAATTCACATATGATTTTATTTAGGACGAAAACGACGTATTACATTTATTGAATGTCGAAATGATATAAATTCAATGATTGATGTAGCTAAAGTTGCTGATTTAGTTTTACTTTTAATTGATGCAAAATTTGGTTTTGAAATGGAAACATTTGAATTTTTAAATATTGCACAAGTTTATGGTTTACCACGTATTATGGGTGTATTAACACATATGGATTTATATAAAAAAATGAATAAACAATTAAATAAACGAAAAACACAATTAAAACATCGGTTTTGGACAGAAATTTATCAAGTAATTATTTGTATTTCTTATTTAAATTGTTTATCTAAATTAAGAATATTTAAGGGTGCTAAATTATTTCTTATGTCTGGAATGAAACATGGTGAATATATTCAACGTGATGTTCATAATCTTGCAAGATTTATTTCTGTTATGAAATTTAAACCATCAACATGGAAAACAACACATCCATTTGTTGTTGCTGATCGGTTAATAATAATTATTCATTATTGAATTTTTTTTTATTATTTTAAATTTTGCTTTTAGTATGGAAGATCTTACTGAACCAGAATTAATTCGTACAAATCCATTATGTAATCGTACAGTATGTTTATATGGTTATGTACGTGGATGTCCAATTAAATCTGATACACCTATACATATTCCAGGCAAGTATGTTTGAGTTTTATATGATGATGTTTAATTGTGTTCGAATTAATAATTTAGGTTGTGGAGATTATAAATTAACGAATATATCAGCATTACCAGATCCATGTGGATTACCGGGTGATCGTTCAACAAAAACAAAACAAGCTCGACGTGTTTTAAATGAAAAAGAAAGACTTTTATATGCACCTTTTTCTGGTGTTGGAGGAATTGTTTATGATAAAGATGCAATTTATATTGAATTAGGTGGCTCACATTCACATCGTCCATCAAATACTAATGAAAAAGTATATTTTATTTTTGTTTAATTATTCAATATTAATTTTATATATTTTAGACAAGACCAATCAACGAATATGTAGCTAATATATTATCAACAAAACAGACGATTGAAGAAAAAGTAGCATCAAGTCAATTGAAATTATTTGCTGATAGTGAACCAGTCATAGCTGAAGATGTGTAAGTAAATGAATTTTCGAATATTTATTTTACGGTCTTTTTTATAGACAAGAAACAGAAAGAAGAAGAATGAAATTTGAAACAGAAGATGATGATGAAAATGCTTCTGAAGACGACGAAGAACCAGAAAACGACGATGATGATGATGAACAAGAGGAAGATGATGAAGAACAAGAGGAAGATGATGATGATGAACAAGAACAAGATAACGATGATGAAGAAGAAGAAGAAGAAGAACAAGAAAATGATGATGAAGAAGAACAAAAGGAATTTGGTAAGTATTTTGACTCTATACTTTATCCATAGATTATATGTCAACTATTCCTAAGTTTAATTTATAACACAGTTTTTATACAAGTTCAAATCAAAGTAGAAATATCTGAGGATTGATACAAGGATACTCAGATGATTCAGCTAAAACTTTATCCTATAGGACTCATTTGAGGACAATATGTCCTCTTTTCTTATCGAAACTTGAATCAATTTTAAACGAAATTATTTATTTATTTTAGGAAACTCCTGGAAGGAAAATATATCAAAAAAATTTGCTATTAGTTATGTTCCTAATAAAGCAATCAATTGGACAAGACTTGTTTATGGTATGAATATATATATATATATTTATAAACAATGAATATTTATTGATTTATTTGTAGAAAAAGGAAATGAAGATGTATTATCAGAAGAAGCGGATTCAAAAAATAATAATAAAGAAGTTGGAGGATTGTTTAGTATATCAAAACGAAAGACAATAAATGTAAATGATCAAGAAGATTATACATTAATGAAACAAAATGATAAACATAATTGGAATATTGATAATGTATGAGAAAGGAAAGAATTATTTATAAATTAATGATTATACTTTATTTATTAGATCTCTGAATTAATTCGTGATTGTTTTGTAACAGGAAAATGGGAGAAAGAAAAAGATGCAGCAAATTTACTTGCAGAAGATGATGAAATGGATGATGATGGTTAGTTTTGTTTTTGTTTTATTTGTTCAAAGAAAATTTTTTTTGTATTTTTTTTAGAAGATGTATTTGGTGATTTTGAAGATTTAGAAACAGGTGAAAAGAGTACAAGTGAAAATAATAAAATGGATTATGATGGTAATATTTCAATATGTATATATATATTTAATATTAATTATAAAATAATTTAGATGATGATGAAGATGAAGAAAAAGATCCTGAAGACGCTAAACTTCAGAATAAAAAAGCGAAATTAAAATCGCAATTTGATGCTGAATATGATCAATCAAAAGAACCTGATTCAAAATATCTAGATGAACTTAGAAAAGAAGTTGATATTCAAACAAAAGTATAAATTTTTTATTTTCTTCAAAATAAAAAAACTAAATTTATTTTGTAGTTAAATCGATCAGAATTTGAAAATATGCCTGATGATGAGCGTGTTCAATATGAAGGTTATCGTCCTGGAATGTACGTTCGATGTGAATTAACACAAATTCCATGTGAATTTGTTAATACTTTTGATCCACGTTATATAGTCATTCTTGGTGGAATGCCTGTTACTGAATCTCATACAGGATATGTTCAAGTTCGTATGAAAAAACATCGATGGCATAAGAAAATTTTAAAATGCAAAGATCCATTGATTATTTCACTTGGTTGGAGACGTTTTCAAACAATTCCATATTATTTTATGCAAGATCATAATATGAGACATCGACTTTTGAAATATACACCACAACATATGTATTGTCATGCTATTTTTTATGGTTAGAATATTATTTTGATACAAAATATGATGTATATATTGATTATTATAGGACCTCTTACACCACAAAATACTGGTTTTGTTGCTGTTCAACAAATAGCTGGACGAGTAAATGATTTTATTGTGTTTTCTTGATGATTATATTTCTATATTTTTTAGACGGATTTTCGAGTAACAGCAACTGGTGTTGTTATTGATTTAGATAAATCAACAAAAATTGTAAAAAAAATCAAATTAATTGGTACACCATATAAAATCTTTAAAAAAACCGCATTTATCAAGGTGATTTATTTCTTTGATACATTTTTTTTGTTCATAGAAAATTTTTGTTATGTATTTAGGGTATGTTTAATACTCCATTAGAAGTAGCGAAATTTCAAGGTGCATCTATTCGAGCTGTAAGTGGAGTACGTGGACAAATAAAAAAAGTTGTTAAAGAACATCCCGGTGCGTTTCGTGCTACATTTGAAGATAAAATTCTTCTCAGTGGTAAGAAAATTTTGTTTTGATTTAAAATCATTTTATTGAAATTTTCTATTTTTATAGATATTATTTTTCTTCGAGCTTGGTTTCCATTACAAGTACCAAAATTTTATACTCCTGTAACGAATTTACTAATGCCTATGGAACAAAAAGATCAATGGCAAGGAATTCGGTAAGATTTTTGTCTCTTATAAACTCTTAGTTTTCTATTTGTTATTAAATGAATAATTATTTTTAGATCTGTTGGTCAACTTAAACGTGATAAGAATATTCGTAATGAACCGAATGTTGATTCTCTTTATAAACCGATTGAAAGAAGAGAACGTGTATTTCGTCCATTAGTAATTCCAACACAATTACAACGTGATTTACCATTTCATCTTAAACCAAAATCAGGTGAAACAACAACAATGAGAGATCCAATTACAGAAAAACAACGTGTTGCTGTTGTTCTTGAACCAGAAGAGAAAAAAGTAAATAAAATTCATTTCTTTTTTTTTCTTATAAATATTTCTTTTATTTTTAGATGACTGATATTATGAAAATGTTTACAACAGTCTATAAAGATCGTTTGAAAACAAAACAAAAAACTCAAGAGAATCGCAATGCTCAATATAAGAAACAACAAAAAATACAAGAAATAAAACATCTACAAAAACATAAGCAATTGAAAAGAGTTGTTTATAAAAAACTTGGTCAAATGGAAGGAAAAAAAACGAATAGAAATTCTCGTTCAAAAAAGAACGATAATGTTGATGAATAGTTAAAATAAAAAATAAAAAAAAATTTTCATCGTTTTTGTTATCTCTTATTGTAAAGAGACAGTTATAGTGTGTTTTTTGTTTTTAGATGACTACTGTACTTCATCAGCCTAGTCTTACAGAAGGCTTAACTCTACTGGGATGGAAATTAAAACGTGATGCTGAAATTCAAGGTTAGAATTTCATACAGAAACAATCATTTTTCTTATTAATTTTTTTTCAAGAACGTAAAAATGAAGCTAATTTTGAATGTGAAGTTGAACCAACATCTACATCCTATGCTGCATTTGAATATATGTCAACAGCCGATGATGACTATGATCCATATGCTGGTCTTAATGTTGATCTTTGTCTTGAAGTTGATGCTATTGATTTAAATAATACAAATCAACAAATAAATGATGATTATGATCCATATGAAGTTTTTATGAGAATGAATACACGTCGAACGGTAAATGGACGTGAACGTGCTCCACTTGCTGTATTACCATCACATTCAACAACAGCAACATCTCCATTAGTTAATAATTATCGACATTATAATTTTGCTGATGATGATACACCTGTTAAATATCCATTAGCTATCGGACATATTGATCGACGTATAAAACCACAAAATGTAAATTATTTTATTTAACAAAATAACAAAACAACAAAATCTTCTTTTTTCTTCTTAGATTCGAGGTGGTTTTACAAATCGACCATCATTTGACGAAGATCGTCGGCCTTCTCGTGGTGGTATGGTCACTCGACCAATAATTCCATCATCATCATCATCATTATCATCATCCTATCGTCAACCATCAACAATGATTCCACGTCGTGGTATTCCATCGACATATACTGGTACACGTGGTAATATGAATCATCAAATACGTCGTAATATTCCTCCACCACCACGTCTTTATCCTCGTTCAGAATATCCTCCAAGTGCATCATCAAAACGTGTAACATTTCGACATTCAAATGATTTTAATTCTGGTGATGATTTTGATGAAGACGAAGAAGATGATGATAGTTTAGAAGGTGATCTTCATCAACCAATTCAACGTCGAAATAAACCGCCAAGACGTACAGCTGCTCGAATAGCTGTACAACGTTTTCGAGCAAATCATCTACGTTCATCAATTGCTGATGATGATCTTGATGATGATATTGCACCAACAGTTACGGAAATGGATATGTTAGAAGATCAAGAACTTGATGAAGATGAAACAAATATACAAACAACAAGTACAAAAACAATGTCATCACCAGTTAAATTACCACCACCACCTCCACCACCAACATTACCAGTTAAACCAACAGGCGGAACAATAAAATCTTCTTACATTGGAAATATGTTACCAAGTTTTTATGAACAATTACCTGAATCAAAAAAAATGCTTTTACAAGATGCAACTATTGATTCATCATCAAATAATTCAACAGTTCAAACAATGACAGATGCATCATCTAAAAATCAAATTGAAGTTCTATCACCTGGAAAAGTAAAGAATTATTTTTATTTTGACTTTCAAATTATATGATCTTGTTGTTTTTCGTTTCAGAAACAAGCTGGTCTAACAACTGAACATATTGAAGGTCCTGGTGGTGAAGAAATAATTGATGAAGAAAATCGTTTACAATTTCGTAATACAACTGTAACTCAACCATTTAAACGATCGACTGGTTATCAAAATTCCAAACGATATTATGAACAAGATGACGATGATAATGATGATCAACAACAACAAATGAGAAAACGTATGCGTCCTAATGATGATGAGTATTCATCTATGAATAATAATAATCGACAATTACAATATTCAAAACAACAACAACAACAACAGCAGCAGCAGCAACAACAACGTTATAGAAAATATGAAGATGATGAAGAATATGATATTAATCAAGATACACAACAACAAGATGAAGAATTTCAACAAACTATACGTGTACCTGCACGACGAGGGTAAAGAATACTATTTTCTTTTCTAAATAATTCTATTCATTCATTTATTAATTATTTTAGTCGTCCACCATCGCAACATCATCAACAACAACAACAACAACCACAATCACAACAACAGCAACAACAACAACAACAACAACAAGAAGATCCATCAAAAAAATATGCTCGTATAATATCTCAATATGAAGAACAACATGGTTTAAAATTCGGTGATATGCGTGTATTTGCACCTAAACTTCGTTTACGTATATCAAGTGTTAATGTTAATTGGATTAATTTACCACCTGTACCAAAATTACCTTATAAAGTTCATCAATCGTGAGCAACATGCATTGTGTATCCGTCTTTGCTTTTATTTTAGCAAACTAATCTTCTTCTTCATCATTATTATTATATGTATTCATTCGGTTATCTTTTTTCTTTCTTTCTTTTTGTTTGTACATAATTTACATATATAGTATATATATCTCTATCATCTAAGAGAAAAAATATGGATTCTTTTTTTTTGTCGACTGTAGATCAAAATAAAAAAAAGATATATGTTTTTGTTGGTATTCTAGATCATTTTTCACAAATATTTGAGAACGTTTCCCGAGTGAAATAAAAAATGTTTATGACAAGAAGTGAATATGATCGAGGTGTAAATACATTCTCACCTGAAGGTCGTCTTTTTCAAGTTGAATATGCTATTGAAGCTATTAAATTTGGTACAACAGCTATTGGAATTCAGACAGCAGAAGGTTAGAAAATGATTAAATAACTTATAGAGAGTAAAATATTTTCATTCGAGATGCCTTTGTTTTCTTAGAAAGCATCTAACATGATTAGAACTATGTGGGATCAACTCCGATCCCGGAGCCAAGAGCATAGTAGACTCAAGATTGTGACGATCGAGACCAAGATCAGAAAAATCTAGTCTCGCACATTTCTAAACACGATATATTGCTTAAATTTATGAATCTAATGAAATGATTTTTTTTATTTAGGTGTTGTCTTAGCAACAGAAAAACGTATTACATCAGTTCTTATTGAACCACGTAGTATCGAAAAGATTGTTGAAGTTGATGCACAGTGAGTTGATATCATAAAGAACAAGGAAGAAGTTTATTATATATATTTATTTTTCTCTAGTTGTGGTGCTGCAATGTCCGGTTTAATTGCTGATGCTAAAACTTTAATAGATAAAGCACGTGTTGAAGCACAAAATCATTGGTTTACACATAATGAACGAATGACAATTGAATCTATCACTCAATCCGTATCAAATATGGCATTAGCTTTTAGTGATGATTCTGAAGATGTTAATCCAATTTCACGTCCATTTGGTGTTGCACTTCTATTTGCTGGTTGGGATGAAAATGGCCCACATTTATTTCATCTTGATCCATCAGGTACATATACAGAATATGATGCTAAAGCTATTGGATCTGGTAGTGAAGGTGCTGATCAAACACTTCAAGATGTTTATCATAAATCAATGAAATTATCCGAAGCATGTAAACATGTTTTAACAATTCTTAAACAAGTTATGGAAGAAAAATTAAATGCAACTAATGTTGAAATGGCAACAGTTAATGCTAGTGGATATCGTTTATTTAAAAAAGAAGAAATTGATGACATTATTAAAAATATGTAAAACTCAAAATATCAATTATTAAAGATTTAGCCAAGAACATTAACATTTTTTTTTCATTTTCATTTTCTTCTGTTTGTTAAAATGATATCATTTGTTGTGTTTTTAAAAAAAAACAACAGACAAAGTGATGGTGCGAATCGATCTTTAAAGATTTTCTTTTTAATTCAAATAGATTTCATTTTTAACTTTTGTTTCTCTAAAAAACATGCTGATATTTATGGTTGCTGAAAAGCCTTCATTGGCTTTATCAATATCTCAAATATTATCTAATGGACAATTATCATCAAAAAAAGGTTTTAATAATGTTTGTAGTATTCATGAATGGACAGGAAGATATCAATCAAATTCATCAGCACGTTATCGTATGACATCAGTAGCTGGTCATGTATTTGGTCTTGATTTTGTTCCTCGTTATAATAATTGGGATAAAGTTGATCCAGTAAGAGTTATATATGTTTTTCTCTTTTGTTTTTGTTAAATTAAATTCTTACCTTAGGCAGAATTATTTGCTGGTGACACATTGAAAAAAGAAGCATCACCAGGTCATCGTATGCCAGGTTTTCTTGAAAAAGAAGCTCGAGGTGCTGATGTCGTTGTCTTATGGCTAGATTGTGATAAAGAAGGAGAAAATATTTGTTTTGAAGTTATTGATTGTATTGATAAATCAATTAATCCAAATGTTTGTTATATTATTTGATAATTTCTATTGTGAATTGTTTTGTTTTTCTGATCAATAGGCAAAAATTCTTCGAGCAAAATTTAGTTCCATTACAGATAAAGATATTCGTCATGCATTCACAAATCTTGGTTATCCAGATAAAAATCAATCGCTATCTGTTGATGCTCGTCAAGAACTTGATTTACGTATTGGTTGTGCATTTACACGTTTTCAAACTCGATTTTTTCAAGTACTAAACTATATACTTTCCACAGTTCTACTGCTCATTCAGATATAGATAATATAATAAATACTGAAGGTATTGAGGATAAAGTTCTCATTATCTTTATCTGTATATATAACTTCAGTATTTATGATATTCTTTATACCTTGACGTTTGCAGTTGCTTATAGAATATCTTAACGCCTTTGGTTTATTTTAGGGAAAATATGGTGATTTAGATAGTAGTTGTATATCCTATGGTCCTTGTCAAACACCTACACTTGGTTTTACTGTTGATCGTTATGATAAAATACAATCATTTCAATCTGAACCTTATTGGCTTTTATCTGTTGAAGTAAATTTATTTCTTTAAATAGATTTAAGAACAAGAAATTTTGATTATTTACATAGATCAAACATACAAATGCTAAGACTTACAAACTTTTTTGGGATCGTGGTCATATGTTTGACAAAGAAATAGCTTATTTTTTTCTTAATAATATTAAAGCAGCAAATAAAGTTCGGTAAGAAACAAAGAAAAAATTCTATTAAAATTAAATTTAAATAATATAGAGTTGTATCTGTTAAAACAGAAAAAAAACATAAAGGACGTCCTAATGCTTTAAATACTGTTGATTTACTTAAAGTAGCTAGTGCTGGTCTTGGTAAGAATACTCTATATTCATTTTATTAATTTACATATGATTTGTTTTTCCTGTTAGGTATGAGTCCTCATCATGCAATGCAAATAGCTGAACGTCTTTATACATCTGGTTATATTAGTTATCCACGTACAGAAACTACACAATATGCTGATAATGCTGATTTAAAGTAAGTTTTTGAAGAAATAAAAAACATTTAACAATAAATCTTTTTTTAAGAGGTGTTCTTCGTGAATTATCGAATTGTTCAGGTTCGGATTGGCAAGGTCATATCAAAAGTCTTTTATCCGAAGGTCAATATACTTCACCAAAACGCGGTAAAGATGTTGGTGATCATCCTCCCATAACACCAGTTAAATCTGCAAATGCAGCATCTGTTGGTGGTGGTGATTACTGGCGTTTATATGATTATGTTTGTCGACATTTTATTGCAACAGTATGATATCTAGTAATTAAATATAGGATAAACGGAAAGGTGTTTTGTTTTCTTATTATTCTATTTCAGGTAAGTCCAGATTGTATTTATGAAGAAACAACAGTTGTATTCGAAGGATCAAATGAAACATTTTCATTGTCAGGTAAAAATGTTGTTGAACCAGGTTTTACAGCCATTATGTCATGGAAACGTGTGACGGATGATGATCCTATTCCAGCATTTACTGTTAATGAAACATTTCCAATTGATGATGTTAAATTAGATGAACGACATACATCAGCACCAGATTATTTAACTGAAAGTGAACTTATTTCATTAATGGAAAAACATGGAATTGGTACAGATGCAAGTATACCAGTACATATTAATAATATTTGTGAACGAAATTATGTCAAAGTTGATAATGGAAGACGTTTAATACCAACATCATTAGGTATTGTACTTGTTCATGGTTATCAAAAGGTATATGAATTTGAAATATATGATATAAACATAGCTTGTTTTTGTATATGATTTAGATTGATCCTGAATTATCTTTACCACATATGAGATCATCTGTAGAAACTGAACTTAATGAAGTTTGTTTTATTTAAATAATTTTTTTAAATATATTAAGATACTGTTTTCTATTAGATTGCTCTTGGTCGTGTTAATTATAAACTAGTCGTTGCACATGTTCTTCGAATATTCGAAGAAAAATTTCATTATTTTGTTCAACATATTCAAGGTATGGATTCACTTTTCGAAGTATCATTTTCATCATTAGCTGCTAGTGGAAAACCATTTGTAAGGTAAACAAAAACAAATCTTTTCCTATTTATTTATATAAAATAACAAATATATATATTTAAAAGATGTGGAAAATGTCGTCGTTATATGAAATTAATTGAATCACGACCAAGTCGTTTACATTGTGAAATATGTAAAGATACATATAATCTTCCACAAAATGGTCTTATTAAAACATTTAAAGAACTTAAATGTCCATTAGATGAATTTGAACTTGTTCAATATGCTGCTAATAATAATGGAAAAGTAAGAAAAATGAAATATATGATTTGAACTATTTCTTTATTCATATATTTATTTAGAGTTTTTCTTTATGTCCATATTGTTATAATAATCCACCATTTCCAGATATGCATAAAAATGCTGGTTGTAATGAATGTACACATCCAACATGTCGTTATTCACTTGGACATAATGGAATATGTGCTTGTTATATATGTAAACAAGGTGTATTTGTATTAGATACAACAGCAACACCAAAATATCGTTTAGCTTGTAATAAGTATGTTACATTGGGATTCGGAAAGATGCGCATCTTTCAAATTTTCTTTTTTTTTTCGTAGATGTCCATTTGTTTTGGCATTACCTGATGCTATACAAAAAATTACAATGAAAGAGAATGAATTTTGTAAACAATGTGATACAGCATTAATGAATATAGAATTTAATAAGGTAGAAAAAAAACGAAATAAAGACAATATTAAATTGATATTTTTAGGAGAAACATCCTGATTTATCTAATCTTCAAGCAGCATGTTTACTTTGTCATGAATATTTTCTTGACACAATTCAACGAACAGTAACATATATTACTAATATGCAAAATCGACCAGCTTATGTACGTGGGCCTATGCGTGGAGGAGGACGAGGTGGACGTGGAAGAGGTCGTGGTGGTGGTGGTCGAGGAAGAGGTTCTTCTCGTGGTGGTGGCCGTGGTCGAGGTGAAGGAAGAGGTGGACGTGGCCGTGGAAGAAACTAGTCTTTCTTTTATTTTTGTTTTCATTATTTTATTGAGCTTTTTTCTAAAAAAAACCGTTTTTGTTTTGAGTGGTATTTGTTATTTTTATTTCAGATATAAAATATGACCACAAAATCTAATCGGCCAGATGAAGAACTTGAAGCTGATTTTAATGCACGTGCAACTCAATTGGAAAATTCTTTAAATGAATTAGAAAGTTTTCTTTCTCATATTGATTCAGTATCGTATACAACAATACATGAAGGTTTAACACCACTTGATCAAGCTCGATTTGATTTAACAGCTACTTATACACTTAATTCATTAATGTGGGCTTATTTAAGAACACGTGGTATTGATCCTAAACAAACACAATTAAAAAGTGAATTAGATCGAGTTAAATCTTATATGGATAAATTAAAATCAGTTGTCGATAGACAATCAGCATCAAGAATTGATAAACAAGCAACAACACGACTTATGCGAAATGCTTTATGGCAACAAGCACATTCAAAAAATAAAACAACAAATAATGATGATCAACAAACAAATTAATATTTATTTTGTTTTGTTTTTTGTTATAATATATGAATTTCTTTGTTACCAAAAAATATGAATATATAGAAGTTTAAAAAAATATATACGGTTGTATCAAACAATTGAGTATATGTATATAAATAATAGAGAGAAAATAAATGTGAGTTAAACAGTTATAATCGTTCATTCTATTAATATGTTATCACTAATTCATATATAGAAAAAATATATTGATTGTTATTTAAATGACGTATAAATCGAAGAAAATCCCAAATATGTAAACAATTCTGAAATAATATTTTTATTGATAAAATTATGGGTTTTGTTTATAGATAATTATTCATAAAGAAATAAATCAATTACACACACATTATAAAAAGAAAATATTTTAAAATTAAAATAAATATTTTTATTTTTTTTTATTTACGCATAAACTGACGACCAGAAGGTCCTTACAGTACATAAGATAATAAAGAAAAAATAAAAAGATAAACAACTAACAAGAAACAACTAGAGAACAAATATAAACACATGAGAACAAAAGAAAAACCACTGAGATATCAACTAACTAATATAAAAAAACGATTCAGGAAAAATACGAAGGAGTTGAACCTCTTCCATATCATATGAAGGTAAAGAAGAAAGAGAAGAATTAGAAGAAACCAATCCATACATCTTTCAAATACTGAAATGTTATCAAGAAATCTTTTAGAAATATGTAAGCATCTAATAGAATACTCTCTCTCCACCCAAGACTGTCTAAACCTATTCAATGAAGCATTTTCAAAAATAAATCTGTTATTTAAGATATGATTCATATATTGAATATATCCGCATAGTTCTTTATGATAATTAAGTGTTAATTACAGGAGCTACACGTATGTGTACATTGACCTTAAACAAAAAGCAATGATAAGAACATGTATATTATAGTTTATAAATTTTTTCTTACCATGAACTACGTATGGAATAAAATCATCATATAGTGTATTCATCTGATTCTTAGAAATACCTTCATTATATTCTTTTTTTAAAATAGTTAAATGAAGTTCATTGTTTGATTTAGATGCGGGTGAAATTATGATTAATTTTTTTCCTTCCATTTTATATTGTGTACTTTTTAATTCTTGTCCATCACATTCGATATAAAAATCTAGAAAACATAATAAAAAAAAACATTTTAAATAAGTAACATTACTATCTTACCACTTTTTTTACATTTGGTGCTTAGTGGTACACTGATCTCCCCACCGCTCAGTTGACATAGTTGTCTCGGTTTGACTTCAGTATCATCAATAGTTACTTCTTTATCCACTAAAATGTAATATAACAATGAACAGCAAATGGTCATTGAAATAAAAATTACTCAGTTCAATAATTGATGTATAAGAAGGTTGTGACACAAGTTGATATTCACCAGAAGTAGATTGTTCACATAAAGTATATTCTAATCTACATAATCGAAGATTTTCTGTTTCAGTACTTTTTTCAGTTGACAAGAAATAATGTAACCGTTTGAAAAGATGAACCTTTATTCTTAAAATAACAGTAATTAATATATATATATATATATATATATATATATAGGAAGAAATATTCACTCACATCTTTCGACGTTCACGACGTTCTTTATCAGTAGTTTTTAAGAAAACACATTCATTTTCTGAATTACTTTGTAAATAAGTTTGTTGATTATTATTTCCCATTGATGAAATATTAACATACAGTTTTTCAGGTGCAACACATTGGTATGAGTGTGAATGTCCACCTTCTGTAACCGCTCTGACACGAACATAAAGTTCAGCATTATTATCAGCATTAGTTGGCAGCTATAATTAAATGTTATAATTAAAACTACAATAAATATCAAAACAGGAATGATTACTTCTATTTCAGGATAGGCTCTCTGTCTATGTTTGTCACCTGCTTGTACTAATGGGCACATTTTCTTGAGTAAATCCTTTAGCATACGAACACGACGATAGCGGTTAGGTTGTTTTCGTATATTTGGTGGACCATATTTTATTATTGGTGCCATTGCTGATTGAACATCTGATACCACGACTGATGCTGTTTTCGTAGTAGTGTCAGATAAAATAACTGGAATTGAAATGGAATTATTGTTAGATGAACGAACATGTTTAGTTTTTGCTTTTCGGATAGTATGTTGTTTTGTATGGTGTATAATATTTTTCGTAATTGATTCTCGTTCTTTTAAATCTACACTTAGGTTCATTCGACAATCATTTGTTTCCACGGATGTATTGTCAACATTTTTTTCTGTATAATATTAGAAGAATATATTACTAATCATATTAAAAAATTACTTACGATGACAATCAATTTGTGTAGTTTGAAGAGGCGATTCTTCTGCAGAATTGAGTTCTTGACGCATATCTCTAATGATTGCATCCATATCAGATGATATATTTTGAATATTCGTTGTTGAATTTGTCATAGGTTCTTCATCAGTCGAATATAAATTAAAGTGAGAATTTGTTTGAGAATTATATATAATGTGATCTTCATGTTTTTCCGATGTAGTTGAATCATCGCCACTTTCAACGGATAATTTATCTGTACTGCCTTTTGAATGGATATCAGACGAACTATCATTTTCACTCGACGATAATGATGACGAAAGATGTGCATTTACATTATCTGTTGTATGAGGTTCTTCAGTATTTATTAGTGTAGCATCATTGTTATCGATACTAAGCTCTGTTTCCATAACTGATATTTGAAATGATGAATAGATAAAAAGAATATATACTTTAATTTTATTTTTAGTTAACTTACTTTCTTGATTCAATTTTTCAAATAAACCACGAAGGTGATCAAAGATACGTTGGTCATCTCTAGCAAAACAAGTTTGTGGCTTGTCATCACTATCGGTAGCGTAGAGTATTGCAAATGAGAATGTTTCAGGTTTGCACATAATAAAAGTAATATTACGACAACGTTTTTCTTGTTCCGATTCACTTGAAGTTCCATCATATCGACGAATATCTTTTTCTAAATTAACTGGAACATTATCTGTAACGCAAATGATATAGATGACAATTTTGTATAAGTCTGCATAACCATTAAATATATAATTTAACTGTGCACGTGTTGGAGATAATGATATGCCTTCTAGAATATCCTGTACCCAACTTAGCGAATGCTCCATATTGCAACCATATTCTACCATGTGTTTGATACAATCACATAAATTTCCCCATGAAGAACGTTGAATAGAACCGATCCATGACCTAAAAAAGTATAGAAAATATTATATCTTCAAATATATGTGAAAGAAAAATGCAATACTTTAAAGATTGATTTTTTTCCGAACAACTTGATAGTATAACTGAATGGTTTACGTTTGAGGTTTCACGCAGTTCATTAGCGGTTAAAGAAGTGTTATTTTGCATATTTGTATAATGTTTTATAACTTGAATGGTTTAAAATAAGAGGAAAGTCAAAGTATATATATGATTCAACGCCTGCTAAAACACAACGCACCAATAAAATGAAAACAAACGATGAAAAGAAAGAGAAAAAAACAACGTTACACACGCTGCGAATAGGGAAAGCCCAACTTCGATAGACATGTACGTATAAATCTCTATACTGGAATATAATGATAATGCAAAAAGATTACATTGACATTTTGGTTTATTTTATATCTTATATTACTAATTTACTAGATACGTTATCATCCTTTGATACTAATTATAATTAATATTATTTTCCCAGTAAATTATAAGTAGTTTTTAATACTTTTTAACCTTTACAATCAATCATTCTTACGTAACATAATCATAAATTTCACTCTGTGACAACAAGAAAAGATAAAAAAAGAAAAAAAATAATAAGATGGATGCATAAAAAATAGACAAAGTTGATAGGGTAATTTTTCTTGTTCGTCATCAATCACATGCATTGAATATCCTTCGATCTGCTTGAGTTCATATAACTGCATAGAATTGTTTTAAAATGAATTTGTACGCATGACATTTTACATATTTAGTCAGATTATTCTGCAAGAGAGCGTTATGATTTGTTTACTGTAAATCAACAATAATACACTGACGATGTTTTTATTTATCAGTAAGTTTATTGTTAACGTCAGCTCTGATTTCATTTATATAAAGAAATAACCGATTGATACATATTTTGTTTCTTTCTTTTGTAACACCATATATAATTATGCTATTTTCTTATTAGATTTTGAATTAAATAAACCATATCACTATTTATTTTATAATTTTGTTAATATGCTTGAAATTTTCTTTTATGTAGAATAAAAAAAAAGCTAAAAAACATGATATATTAAAAATACATATAAGAGTTCAATTTACATTTTATAACTTCGTCTAAAATCATGTATCAAATTCAATAATACGAAAAAAGCTGTCTGTTAACTTATTTCTATTAAAACCATTTGGTATTGCTTTTTTCCAGATCTAAAACGAACTTCGTAGATATTAGCTTAATTTTATTGAATAATATAATGTATGACGAATAACTATGATTGAAAAAAAACGCATTTCATGAAAAATTAGAAGAAAAAAATTGTTAGCGAAATTTATTAAACATCAAAACTAACAATGGAAAATTGTAATAAAAATCAGACAACTTACTGAAGATGATGATACAACATTCTCCGCTATTGAATTATTAAAAAGATCGCTCTCCGAAGATTATAGAAGTTACCGAAGCTTCGTCAATAATGGAAATTCATGGGTGTATTATGAGTAGTTTTTCGATAAAATAACTTTTTTAATCGAAGATTTTAGTAAATACTTGCATTCTATATTAATTCTATGCTGTATAAATTCTATACGATTTATATCTTTATTGTATCAGTTAGTAATGAAGTAGAATAAATTTTATCTCAATTTTCAATAAGAATAATAGAAAATATTTACTCGATATTTTACTGAATAGTGGCGACCTCTAAATATTTCTCTTTGAAGAATAAAAATCCCAGTAGATTCGTCTTCTAAATTTACGATTCGCGATGCACCAGCCAAAAGCGTATTCATCATTTGTAAGATCTAGTGCAATACTTTGTAATGTAAGTTTCTTTCGTAAATTGGAAAAAACAATCCAAGTATTAATATGAACTAAAAATTATTTATTTTTCAGATTCATCGATAATTTCATAGAAAGCATAATGGAGTTATTTTCGTTTGTTGATGATATAAAGTAAGAAGAAATTAATTAGAAAATATTTAATAATTTTAATTTATTTATAGGCGAATGGATAAACGACAGGTATTTTTCTTAGAATTAAAAATCTAATTATAATTTATTTAATAAAAAATAGGCCATATATCAAATACTTAATTTTGGTATGATTATTTCAACAGCACTTATGATCTGGAAAGGACTTATGGTAGTAACAAGTAGTGAAAGTCCTATTGTTGTTGTACTTAGGTTCGTTAAAATCGCTCTTCATAATAATCTATTGATAATCGATTTTGAAATTTTAGTGGTAGTATGGAACCTGCTTTCTATCGTGGTGATTTACTTATGTTAACAAATTATCGTGAAGAACCTATTCGTGCCGGTGATATTGTTGTATTTCGTATAGAAGGTCGAGATATCCCAATTGTTCATCGAGTACTCAAAGTTCATGAACGGTATGTTATTTTTTGTTCATTTAAATTTTATTTTCATTTTGCTAAATTGTAGAGATGATGGTTATGTTAAATTTTTAACTAAAGGTGATAATAATCAAGTTGATGATCGTGGTCTTTATGCACCCGGACAATTATGGCTTGAAAAGAAAGATGTTATTGGTCGTGCCCGAGGGTATTTTTTTTTTATTTAGAATTTATTTTTATATAAAATTGATTTTGTTTTAAATTAGATTTCTTCCATATATTGGTATGGTGACAATTGTTATGAATGATCATCCGCAATTAAAATATTTAGTCTTAGCTGTACTTGGCTTTTTTGTTTTAGTACATCGTGAAAACTAAAAATCTACATCTATTTTTATTTTTATTTATTCATCAAAAGAAAAAAAAAGAAAAAAAAGCAATCGTTTATTAAGATAGTACTTTTTTTTGTTTGTTATCGTTGTTGTTTAGATCTGTTTTATGAAAAGAAAAAGAAAACTATATTATCATCTTTTATTCTTTTAGATAATGACATCGAAGTCAAAATCATCTGGATTTGATGCGTCAAAAAATAATACAATAGCTCAATTTGATCCTGGTACTATTCAAATTCGTAATCATTCGTCAAAACTAACAGAATCAGAATTAATATCATTACAATTACTTTTTTATGCATTACTTGATATACTTTCATTGACTATTACAAATAATGATACACATAAATCTCGACTATTATTTCAATTATTACTTCGTCTTCTAACAACAAGTAAAATTCTTCCAAAATCAATGCATTTCTCAGCTATATCAAGTCAACAATTAGATCATGCACAAAATTATGTACGTACTTTACGTGCAACTATTCAAACAGCATTAAATATTATTCAAAAACCGACAACTACAGATAGACCAAGTATTACAAGTCTTTTAGACAAAGATTATACAAAAGCTTTATTAACAACATCACCCAATCTACTATCATCACCTGCAAATATTACTATTGATATACCTCAGCCAGATCTTCAATTAAAAATACCATTACCTATGACAATGAATGGAACTGTAGCAACGAAAAATTTTGATAATGTTGTCATATTTCGTTATGTTCAAGATTTTTATGAACTTGGTATATTAGGAAAAGGTGCTTTTGGTTCAGTTTTTCGTGCAAGAAATCGATTAGATAATCGTATATATGCAATTAAAAAGATTATTTTTGATACAAATCAAAATTGTCGTCAAGCAAAATCTGCTTTACGTGAAGTTCGAGTTCTTGCATTATTGAGTCATCCAAATATTATTCAATACCATTGTGCATGGCTTGAATTAGTACCTTATGAAGCACGTACACATCGAACAACACCAACAACAACAACACAAATAAAACCATCACGTCCTAAAATTGAAAGATGGGATTCAGTTGATGAAATGATAAGTTTTAAGAAAGAATCGTCATCTTTATCAGAAAATAAACAAGAAAATGATGAAAGCAAATCTCAAACAAAAAGTTCATCAACATCAGACGATGATGGAAGCGAGGTAAAATACTTTTCTTTACAAAATTCATATTACATAGCATGATTAAAAACTTCTCGAACCTCTCTCTATTTATTCAAAGAAACGATATTTTGTCCCTTTCCCCATACCTTATATTGGACATATCGATCCTGATATTTCATACTAGATTCCTCTCGAAGTAAACAATTTCATCTGGTTGGTAACAGTCTCATGTCTGCTATCACAATATTGAATCGGACTTATTATCTAAGCTTGATTTCAGAGATGAAACTTCTCCTTCGAGTTGTACTAATTCGTACTAGTATTAGAAACAAGAAGGTTAATTGTATAGTTGACATAGTTCACTTCCAATCTAAGTTAATATTTCTTCGAATGTACTTAGCATTAGATTGTAATTCTATTTAGATATCAACTTTTGAATTAAATGGTGAAAGTTTAAATTCTCAAGAATATCCTTCTGATACTGATAATACTTCGTTTTCGAAAGATCCTTCTCAAAATTCAGTATCAAACAAACAATTGATTCCATTTCATGGTCAAAATCAATTTGTCTCTTCATCAACGCAATCGAAATATATTAATTCTAAAATAGTACTATTTATACAAATGCAATTATGTGATACAACATTATGTAGTTGGTTACGTTATCGTAATGAAGCAATTATTGATGAAACATCTCATGAAAATAAACATATATCCTATTCATTAAATGATTTAGGACAACAACAATGTTGGCATATTTACAAACAACTTTTAGCAGCTGTTCAAGTAAAATTAAAAACAAAAAAATAAAACACTCTTACTTTTGTTTGTTTTTTTTTAGTATATTCATTCACAATCATTTGTTCATCGTGATATAAAACCACAAAATATATTTATTTCATATAATTCAACTGATCCATCATCTGTACATGTTCGATTAGGAGATTTCGGTTTAGCAACTTTATTTGATTCGAAAATAACATATGATTCACCTGAAGATTTTATTAATGATGAATCAAAAGGTATTGGAACACCTTTATATATTCCACCGGAACAACTTCATTCAAATAATTGTACTGCAACAACAAAATCTGATTTATATAGTTTAGGAATTGTTCTTTTTGAATTATTTAATATATTTCAAACCGAAATGGAAAGAAAATGTTGTATAAGTAATTTACGTATACAAACAAAAGTTAATGAAGAATTTTCCAAACTTTATCCATTTGAAACAGATATAATTGAACAATTAGTATCATTTGAAAGTGAAAATCGGCCAAGTGCTGAACAAATATTAACGATGTATACAAAAAGAATGAAAGAACAAATGAAAAAAAAACAAAATTATTCTGAAAAAATGATTATTGAACAATTACGAGAAGAATTACGTGATAAAGATTTAAAAATTCAACAATTACAAAAAGAATTGAATGATAGAAATACAAAAATTCAACAATTGGAACTTGAAATAGGCAAAAATAAAACATAGTCTTTCTTTTATTAGGTTAATTATAGATATAGTAAACCAGATGACATGATCTAATACAGAGAAAAAAATAAAATGTAGTCTTTCTATTGCTTTTATGCGTGTATATATATTTATATTTATTTTCATAATATAATTTGGAAGGAAACTTCAGGTGCATTCTTATAGAAATATATTTTATTTACTAGGTCAACTAGTGAAATATCAAATTTATATGGTAATGTATTTGCTTGCATGAATGATCTAATAAAATCAACTTCAAATATACTGTTAAGAATATATAGTTTTACTGCTTATTTCAAATTAAAAGGGCGGGTAGGTATTTTTTGGATAATGTTCGACAGGAACAAGGTGGATAACGGAGGTTTTTACCGAAGGCGCATCCAAGTTTATCTGAAAAGAATTCTCGAACTACTTTTCTAAGAGTTGTAGTCAGAAATGAAATGCTTCCATAGTTTTATAACTCTTTTTCTAACAGTTCTAGAATGCTATTAATGAGAGACACACTGTTTTTTTAAAAGCTGAATAAAATAGCCTTAGGAAAAAAGCTAAAGAAATGTTTTCAAGTAACTATCGATACTTCTTCATCCTTTTTTTCAACGGTGAAAATCATAACTTTTCATCTTGTTCCTGTCGCCTTTTATTTTGGACTGGCAGTAGTATACAGTTAATTAATGGTAAAGTATTGTTAAAGTGGAAAATGCAACTTGATTAAATTGCCGGTCATTGAAAAGATAAAAATTTTGAAACTCATTTTTTTTTCTTGATTATTTTAGATGAAACAAAAAAATTTAATGAACTTGACGATATATTTACTAGAAAAGATTATAACTTTCAAAGAATTAACTTCTTAGAATATTTTTTGTATGAAATAACACAATAAAATGTCATTTTGTCAACGATAATTACATCAAATAACTAGAAAAGAAAAGAAGGATTTTGTTTTTGATGTTTCAATATTCTAATTAATCGATTAAATTAAAATAATGTGATAACATTATACTAAAGTCTTCATATCAATCCATAGATATCGCTTCATTATTATATTCTGATCTATTTCAAATACGTCTGATATTACAAATTTGTTCGATTGGTCTACATATACATCCGTTAACAAAAGATTTCCATTATATATTTTTCTTATTCTTAAATGTGTGAACTTTTTTTCTATTGTTTCTTAGTAAATAAATGTGACATATATACGGCTTTTTTTTTATAAATAAAATTTTCGTGAATTATATCTTATATTAATTTGTAGACATTGTAAATAATTGTCATAATAAATCTTGTTATGTTTAAAGATAGAAAAACATCAAGTCAAACTCTTATCTTTATTAGTTTTCTTATCTTTATTTATTTTTTACCAAGTTTACTACAAAAAAGTACAATAAAAATGCAATTCTCAATTAAAACTTTATGGAATTCAAAACCTATTACTGATCATCGACCAGTTCAAATAACACTTTCAACTACTAATGATAAAGATCATCTCTCAATAGAAATTGATGCCCCTTTTTTCAACGATCCAGCTCCAATATCAAAATCATTAGCACCTGCTCCATATCCGGAATTATGGAATTATGAAGTTGTCGAACTGTTTTTCTTAGCATCAACAACAAAACATTATCTTGAACTTGAATTTTCTCCATATGGTTATTATCTCGTTCTTTTACTAAATGATCGACGAAAAACAATGAAACAAATGTTACCATTACATTATTATGAAGTTGAACGACCTTCATCAGATCGATGGATTGGTCGTGCACATATTCCTCGATCTTTATTTCCAGCTCATATCGATCAATTTAATGCTTATGCTATTCATGGTCAAGATGATCAACGTACATATGAATCACTTTATCCAGCAACAATTGATAGTGAAAAACCTGATTTTCATCGACTTGAACTTTTTCAAACAATAGATTTTAATTCATTATTAAACATAGGTGATAAAGATGGTGATGATTGGACTAATCACTAATGTATACCAAATGCAAATATAGTGAAGTTGTTCAAGTGTACAAACGAACATTGATTACATATTTAAAATATGATTATATTTATTTAAAATGTTAAGCTTCGAAATTTATACTATATAAAAAAAAGAGAAAATAAATCGATAGCAATCATAGTTCTTTTTTTTCTTCTTCTTCTGACATACAACGATACTTTACATAAGAAAAAGATATGCCATTGAAGTAAGTAGGATTTTAAATTAGATCTTATTTATATGTCGATCGATATTTTAATTTAAGCGAAAAAAAAAACATTCATAAATGAATCCATGTTTAATTTTAATAGATATAATTCTTCCTGAAGATTTATAAATTTAATTTATAAAATGCACTATTCATCTTTCTTTAGAATACAACATCAACGTAGAAGTCAGTTAAAACGTTTATCATCAGCTACAATCAATGATGAATCGAATGATGAAAAAGGTGAATATAGAAATAAGTTTAAGAGTAACAATAACAACACAAAAAAAAACATAGGTCATTCTTCTATTTGATTTTATTCAATTTCTTTTTTCTTCCTTTTCTATTGACTCACTTTGAAATCAAAAATTTGAATGATTTAACACAAACAACATCATTTCTCACTCACCTTGTTATTGACGTTGTTAACGACGTGAACAGTGTCATTGTTCTCGTCGTCCACACAAACTTTTTTCTGTTTGCATTTTCCTCTTCTACTTTCTTTCAATCATTTGGCTTCAAACTTAACAAAATATTCTCATTTTAAAATTTTCATTCTCACTTTTCTTTCACTTAAGTTCTTCTTCTTTTTCTTCTCTTTTTTCTTACTATTTGTCTACATTTCTTTATAAAACTCATAATGAAATGACAAGCAAAGCTCGTGCCAAATCAACAAATATTAATACTCCTGCTGGTACTAATAAAAAAACAGATTCAGGTATCAATCATTTTTCAAAGATAAAAAAAAAATATTAAATATTATTTATTTATAAAACAGAAAAATTTTATTTTATTTTTTTATTTTAATTAGCGGAACCATATCATTGTAAAGGAAAATTCTTAGAAGATTTTGAAGCACTATGTCGACAAGCACAAATTTCATTTGTTGTACCAGTTGTGCCAAGAGCACGTCCACCAGGAACTCCAATGGCAACATCATCTGCAAGTGATGCCAAAGATAAAGCAGCACCTAAAGCAGCTAAAGGTGCAGCAGCAAATAAAGAACGTGAAGCTGCTATGATTCAACAGCAACAACAACAGCAACAAAATAGTGAAGCTGATGCAGGAGAATCTTCTCGTGGTTAGTTTTTATAACAAAAAAAAAGAATAACTTTTTTTTCTACAATATTTTTATTTAGAAGAACCTTTACCAAAAACTTATTCACTTCGTGATCATCTAGAATATTTTAAACCAAAAATTCAACTTGAAATGGATAATCCAGATAAACAAGATACTCTTACTGAAATTCATATTCATGCATGGAAAATTGATCGTCCAATTTTAGATATATTTGCTCAATCATTTCCTACACTTGAACGTTTACATACTCTTAATTTTTGGCATACTGGTTTCACAGATGATACACTTAAACAATTAGCTACTTTTCTGCCCAAATGTCCTAATATTCGTACACTTATACTCGATGCTAATCCCATACCATTAGAACGTTATGAAGTTCTTTTAACTGATGAAAATTCTCCAATAGTAAATTTATCACTTCGACATTGTCGAATAACTGAACGTGGTGCTGCTTCAATAGCTCAAGGTTTAGGAAATGAACGTCGACAAAATAAAAAATTACAAACATTAAATTTAGCTTATAATTCTATAGGTGATAATGGTGCTGAATCTATTGCATGTAGTTTAAAATTTAATCGTACTTTACTTGTATTAAATTTAAGTTCAAATGATATTAGTGATAATGGTGCACAAAAATTATCTGAAGTTTTAAGTAAATTTCCATTAACACAAGAAGAATTAGTTTATCGAAGAAAACTAATACTTTTTTCATCGACAAATGAAAGTGGAGCAGGTGCTCATTCAGCTAGACGTGGTGATAGACGTACTTCATTTAATTCAAGTCCAACAGGAGTGTCAAGAAAAAAATCTGGACTTGCTGCAGCCACATTACCAGCAAAATCGAAAGGTGCTGCAGCTGCAACCGGTGGAAAAGTTTGTTTTATTAATATATATTTTATTTTCATATTGTTTTTTTTTGTTATTTTATAGGCTGATACAAAAGAAGCAGCTAAACCTGTGAAAAAAGATGATAAAGCCGCGAAAAAAACTGCGACAATTGCTGAATCAAAACCAGCTAAAGGTGGTGGTGGTAAAGCAACTAGTGACAAAATGGCTAAAACACTTGGCAATCCAAAAGGTGCAAATGCAGGTGCTGGAAATCGTTCAGCAACACAAAGTGAAACTGATGTAAGTTATTAATAGAATTTACTTTTTTTTTTCATTAAATGCTTTTCTATTAGTATTATGATGAGGTTTGTTTTATTTTTCTATGTATACACACACGTACACACGTTGATGTTGTATTTTCTTCCCTTAAATAGATATTTTAATTAATAAATCTAAATTCTATCATTTAGTTTAATATTGGTGAAGGAATACCATTACTTGATCAAAATGCTGAATTGATAGACGATGATCTTGTTTTACCAGGAAATAGATGTTTACTTAGTTTAAATTTAACAAGTAAGAAAAATATTTTTCTTAAAAAAAATTTATTTTTTTATTTTGAAAGAAAATCGAATATCTGCTTCGGGTGTTCAACAATTTCTTCAAGCAGTTCAATATCAAGAAATGTTTATAAAATTAAATTATTCATCACGAAATTCATCATCAACAGGAGCACCTATTATTCCAAGTCAAGGTCTTCTTCGACTTGAATTACAAGTAAATTGAATAAAACAAAACAAAACAAAAAACTTAGTAAATTTATTTTCTTTTTTTTTTGTAGCGAAATGATTTTGTTACAACAGAATGTGAAGCATATGATAAAATTCAAACATTATTAAAAAATCGTCGTGAACCTATTTTTAAAAGTAAAGAACCTGAAGAAACACCAACCAGTGGAAGAGATACAGCTGGAGCTTCACATTCAAAGACACGTGCAGGTTTGTATTTGTTACACATATATATATAATTTAAAAGAATAATAATAAAATATAAAAATTGGTTTTTTTTTTCGTTTTTAGGTGGCAAACATTGAACAAACGCTTGTGAGACCAGCTTTCATGATAATCTCAAAAAATCTATTCAATCTCGATTTGAGAACTATCACAAGAACTGGCCACAAATTCAATTTATTAACAAGCGTTTCATCTTCTACACTTACTATTTTACAGAATTTCATGTGTTGTTTGTCGTCGCATTTCGTTTATCATCACCCTTCTCTCTCTCTGTCTTTCTCATGATATATTTATTCTTCACCACACATATACAAAGTAAAAGAGAGTCTTATCTTAAGTGCACAACAACCGCTCTCTCTCTCCCCTTTCTCTGTCTCTCTATGATGGTGATGATGACAGTCAGCCGCCTCTTTTTTCTTTCGTCGTCGACATCGTCATTTAGCCTTCGCGTTTTTCTTTTTTCTTACTTATAGATACACACGAAATGAAAATATGTGTATGTGTGCATGGTGCGTGTGGGTTTTTCAGGATAAAAATGAATCGAATGCTTGTTTCATGTATGAGAAATATTTTATTCTTTCTAAGAGAAAAAAAAAAGAAGAAGAAGAAGAAAAATGTGCAATGTAGGTATGCTATTCTAAATGAAAAAAAAACACGAGAAAAAATGATAATTCATGATGATAACAGCTATTACTAATAGAGGTGATCATCTATTTACTCTTTAACATATGGATACAGCTGAATTGATAAGAGGGAGAGAGAATTATGTCATAAAATCTACAAGCTTCTTAGAGGTTTATTCAAATAAAAAAGAAATATATATGTTAAGTTAAAGTCCAAAAAGACGAATTGACTTTTATTATATTTGTTAATATAGGCATCATTTATACATACTATATCAAATATACATACATCTAATCCTTTTGTTAAATAATTCTTATCTTGACTGTTATTTCAAACAAAAAGACTAATTTATTTTGTTAATCATCGATTAAGTATAAATAAATATGATATATTAGATTGAATATAAAACGTTTAGAAATTTTATTCTTCGAAGAAGTAGATAAAATTTTTATCAAGAAATTTATTTATCGTCATCTGGATACGACGAAGTTTTTTTCTTCAAATGAAATCATTATCATTTTAATCGATAATGTTAAAATAAGGATTTGTTTAAAGATAAAGTCTAACATCCTTTGTTTTTCATCACGTGTATCCTTGAGTATATTGTATTTATTCTTTTTTCTTCCTCACCCATCAATCATATGATTGTATACATGTTAATTTTGTATGCTATTGTATTCGTAAGAGAGAAACAAATACACAATTATAACGAATAGATTCAGCTGAAAACCTATCGATACATTTGATGTTTTCGTTCATATCATTTATTTTTTTGAAAACTATATAATTATATTCTATAACTAAAATGTATTTCTTTGGCAGAGAAAATCTGAGATTGCATTACAATAAGATTATGAAAAAAATTCATTTCGAATATTTTTGTATTTGTATTGAAAGTCTATGAATTTATTAGTAACAAAATAGAAGACATAATACTGTAATTATCTATTATATATGCAAATCTTATAACTTCATTATCTGAATTATTTCATATTGATTTAAACAGTTTAAAAATCTCAAATTTCTTATTTTATGTTTGATAATATGAGTCAAATAACAATAAACTGTTCTAAATATTAATCATAGATTTTAGCATGCCGTTTACATAATCTTATAAGACATAATGTAGTATACCATACAAGATCTTACGATTTATATTTGTATGCTTAGAGAATAGTGCACTATAATATACCTTCAGTTTTTTACATATATTCTTCTAACTAATTACAAATACCTTCATCAACTATGTTGATACTTACTACACATCGTTTACTTACGAATATTACATTCAATATGTATTCACATAACTATATCGATTAAATTATATTCTTAAACCTTTCTCTGAAGTGGTACATATGTTCAATCGTATAAATGTAGATGATTTTCTCATTGTAAGATATTATACATTTAGTATTTAATAAATACAGACTCATCATACGAAATTTGTCTTCTTAAATCTTCGTTCACATGTCCAAAATGATACAAAATATACCGGAAAAAACAGCTAACTCTACAATGTCAATGATTTTCTAATAATATAATATACTGATTCTATATGATTTATAAACGTTGCAATCCTCTGTTTCTTTATTGATTAAATTGTACAGAAAATAAGTTGATTTTTTCATATGAATATGACAACAAATAATAACTTTTGATTATTAAAATTCTTTTTTAGCTTGGAGTCAATATGGTAATAAGAGCATCGCTAATGACTTATTTCTATCATTTGTAATTATTTTAAACGATAACACTAACCAACTTTGTATGATTGTAATATCATATAGGTAGTTGGCCCCTTTTTTGTTTGCATAATCATTAAATCATAAATTAAAAACATGTATGTCACAAAGGGTAAACATAAATATATAGCATATATTCGAAGGATGTTTATTAGCATGCGAATGCAACGACGAAAACACTGATTCATGTAGGACACAGTTGAGTGATGGTTTTTCGTATATGAATATAGCAGAAAGAGACACAAACGTAAAAGACTTACCTGTACGACATACTGATGAAACAACCTGTCATTACAAGAATTAAAAAGTTAGTAAAATTATAAAAATCAATTTTTTTTTATAAAATTATTACTGATCAAACATCATAATCTGTATAGACGTTATTATAATTGTATCATGTAGTAAAGACATATATGTTAGTTTAAAATTATGAAATAGATAAACTTGATTCCATCACTATACTTTCCTTTTCTTCAAAAAAGTTTAACGAATTAGATTTTGTTAAATAGTTTCATATCATTTGTTTAGAAAAGACTACGAAAGTAACTAGCATCTGGTAATATTATAGATTTCATGTACAGGATGCATAAGATGAGAAGTGTATGATTGTAAACTAATAAAATACAACATGCCTATGTTGTTCTATAGATTCATTTTTATGGTATACTTACCGTGATATTATGAAATATCGATTACGTTATTAATTGAAAATTATTTATGGTACGTAATAGGAATTACATATCGGTTTGTTTTCGAAAAAAAATCTATTAATGATCAATAGTTTTGCTGAACATCATACAACATGAAGTGTAATTTACAAAATGTTTGACATCTTATTTTAGTAACTAATTTTATACAAAAGAAAGTAGATCATTTTTATGCGAAGTGCTGATGCGTCGTTTCTTAAATAACTAGCGAATATTATGAATGATGAATAATGGACCTGAACCATACACTCACAGTACGTTATATCTATCGCAGAGAATATAATGACGGTTCCTTGGACAAAGTGTTAAACTTTAATGTATATCACGTATCGCGTGTCATAAGATACAATATATATAACACATTTTAACTTAGTGCGTGATGGAAGCTATTCTAATTTTAGTTTATTTCTCGCAATACTTTGTCTAATCTTTTTTTTATAACTATATACTACTTAAGGCTGATATATACGGTATATAAATAATTGTATATAATATAAGAGTATGTATATGGTTTACGATAACTGAAATCAGTTTTATGAGCATTATTAAGTCATTCAAATGCGGCTTATCTATAAAAATTCCTTTAAGATATATTTTGGCTAGTTTACAGCTTGAAAGTAGGGTAAATACAGTATAAGTTTATCTTTCTTCCATCAATCGATCTATTTTAATTAACAAGTTGTATAATGTAAGTTTGTAGAATTTCAAGTTTTATATATCTTTACACAAGTTTACAGACTACATTTTATTTAACAACTAGAACACGTGCTATGATATGTTCAAGAGGAAAAACAAATTCTTATGTTTCTTTCATTATCTATCATAATGAAAAATGTTTTGTCAACGAATAAGTTTAGATACTATACTTCGATAGGTGTTAGAAAGCGCGCGTAACTAATAAGATATATAGATATGTGTGTATGTGCGACGGTTGTTAATTAAGTTTGTTCAGACAGTCTGTCTTGTTTCTGGATTTTTGATAGGTTGTTTTCGTTAGTTTTCAAATAAAAGATAGAATAGCTTCTAATCTTAACATAAGTCTCGTCATAGATTGATTCGCAATATATATAGTTTATTTATTGTTTGTATTTCTTTGACTTCTTTATATATCTGTTGAATTAGAAGCTGTACAAATCAGGCAATGTTCGAGATATGCGATCATAGTTCTTTCGATATACTTATCGTGATACGATCTTAGTCTTTTGATTTGTGATATTTGTTGAAATGTAGACTAATGTGTATGTATTGTATTTTTAAAAATTTTCATTTTGATTTACTGTAATCAATTCACGAAATATTATCCGTAGTATACTTAGAAATGAATTTGAGTTTTAAAACAAGTAATATTGATGAATGTAGATTCATTAACATCATTACATAAACTATTTTTCTTTGTTTTTTTTTTGTATAAAACAATCATTTTGAAATGAATCAAGGTGAAACTTTCTACAAATACAATATACACATTACTCGATATTTTAATGAAAGCCGTAGTTTAGAAGATCAAGTCATTGTAGAGATAGACTATTTGCATCATTTTAGTTAAGTGTATGGACAAATTTTCTTTCCAAAACCTAATTAGAAATGACCATGGTTTGTGACAAACATATTTTTTTTATTGTATCATTGTAATGAATAAAACATAGTTTTTGTTATATAATTTATCAGGAGTAAGAATACTTGCACAAATATAAATATTTTATTGTCAAATTGAATGAAGGTTATAGGCGAACTTAATGAGCGTGACCATATCATAACAGATAGTAATAAACATTTCAAACTAATATATCACAAATTATTGTAAGTGTATAACTTGAGCTTCAGACTAAAGCGATAACAACGCTACTACCCACACTATTTGCCTATTAGTGGATATACTCTCTTGACTTTGAAGATTTTTAATTTTTAAATGTTGTTCAAGATTACATTTAGCAATATAAATGGTCTCTTTAACTTTCTCCAACAATATTACATCTATCATGCAATGCTCTTAATATTCCAATTGATCCGGAGAATAAGAATGTAATAACATCAATATTATCAATCTCAATACCTACTAATACTAATAACAATACCAAAACAAATACTAGGCTTTGCAACAGATCCCTATTATATAGAACAAGACGTCCTTTAAAGTAAGGTTCTGCTACGAAGTTTTCAGTCCTCTAATACTTTATTGATTTTATACCATTCCTAAATCTATGATTAAAAACAACAAGTGTAGACAATACATTTGTAATTTCATCTTCGAAACTACTCGTATCAGGACTCGATTTCTTATTTTTTTTTTTATTACATAAAGAAGAACTTAACAACACGAACTAAGGTACCTTTATGTGCTACCACATTGTGAGAAGATAGGTTTACCAGTGAACTTAAAGAAAAATTTTGATGTAAGGTTATCCGCGCATAAGAAGTCTTCAGAGCTTTCTTCTTATTTTCGATGATTTCTTTTTAGTTTTATATAAGAGTCTTTCCTTAAATATAGTATTATCAATCATTTTGCAATCTATCGTACTATGATAATTAAACATATTTTTACGATCATCACTAATAATCAATGCATACAGAGATCGTTGATTATAAGCATAATATAAAACATATTCTCAGGTAAAAATTCCTTAGTAAATTTTTAAATGAATATAGTCCTTGATCTTTATGTAACTTATACGTTGCAATCAAATATTATCTTATTAATGACAAGAGTAAGTATAGTATATCATCTATCTTCATTATTTGTTTCGTTTTGACAAACTATTTGAAAATACATTGTGATGAAAAAAATATTTTGTTTTTTATAGTGATTTATATGAATTATATGATCATTTGATTTACTATTCACAAAAATTAATTAAAATGAGAAAATCATATGTACGTTTAAAATTTTTGTATATAATTATTGCAATGAGTTTTATATTAAATACAATTTCTATTACATATTTTTTTCCACCATTATCATCGGATTTAAAACACTCTACAGTCAATTCGAGAACATGGAATGATAATATTCTCAGTACTATCGAACGATCTACAAAAGCACTTGAAAAACTTAAAAGATTATTATCTAATGTTATGTCTCCAAATGATCAACCATGGATTTGGATATCTACAGGAGAATATCCATCTGTACCTTATCAACCAACTAAACTCTTAAATGAACATATTCCAAAAACATTATATAATGTTACAAAATTACCTAAATCTGTTATCAATGAAGTTAATCGCGTTTGTAAACGTTTAAAACAATGTGATAAAGCCGGTGGAGAAATTTGGTGTAAATTATTTCAAAAAACTTATGTAAATACACTTGAAACAACGACAACACTACTTGATGATAATTCAACATATATAATAACTGGTGATATTGATCTTATGTGGTTACGTGATAGTAGGTATGAATAATAATAATAAGAAAAAAAACTCAATAGTCTAAATAAACAAATAATTTTAAGATTTTAAATTAGTGCACAAGTTCATCAATATTTACCATTATGGAATGATTCAGATATTCAACGTATTATTGAAGGTCTTATTCGTCGACAAATTCAATTTATTTATTCTAATCCATATGGAAGTGCATTTCGTTTAAAGCTTCGTCCAAATCCTCCATCCGATGATTCTCTTCTACCAATACATACTCGTAAAGGTCGAAATGTACATGTTGCTATGCATAATTATGAATTAGATAGTTTATGTTATCATATACGTTTAAGTTATTCATGGTGGAAACAAAGTCAACGAACAAATGTATTTGATGATCAATGGTTAGTTGCAATTTCAATGATAATTCAAGTTATGATTATTGAACAACATCATACACAAATTTCACCTTATCGTTATACAGAATTACAAAATAATTATCAAGGTATTCCAGTTGCTTATACAGGAATGACTTGGAGTGGATTTCGACCAAGTGATGATCCAACAACTTATGGTTATCTTATACCAAGTAATATGATGGCATCTGTTGTTTTAGAACAATTAACTGAAATGATTATAAATCTATTTCCTGAACAAATTCAACTTTTACAACAAGTATGAATTATTAAATTTAATCAGATTTATTTAAACCTATTAGAAGTATAATCTCCTTTATCTATCAATATTCAATAAACTAAAATAATCGTATTAGATTAGTGATATAAATCATTGAATTTATTGTTTGTGAGCAATTACAATACAGCTAATAATAAATATTACCATTTAGATAAACTAATCTAATACAGACGATAAGATAAAAAGAAAAGACTAATAAACATCTTCTCACTCTGTTTTAACGGGATTCTCGAATTTCGTCAACATAATTATAGGAAGTTTGCTAGTGTCATTATGTGATTACAAATATGTAAAAATAGTTCCTAGTAACTATATTAAAGAGTTTAAACTTAGATCTACTTATTCTAATAATATTAGGTTAAGTTTTCACATGAAAAAATCTATACTGAACTTCTGCTATCACAGTTGGTAAGAATCGATTGAACTTTCGCCAGTGACAAATGTTCTACTGACGAAGAGACAGTAAGCCAAGATTATAGAACATTTGAATAGAACACAATAAAAAATTATCAAACTGAATAGTTCTTTTATTTTTATTAATCAGATTGCACAATTACAAGCAGATATTCTTTCTGGTTTAAATACTTATGGTGTAACAGATCATCCAAAATATGGAAAAATTTATGCATATGAAACTGATGGTTTTTCTAAATATCTTCTTGTTGATGATGCCAATGTACCATCACTTCTTTCAGCATCTTATTTTGATTTTAAAACACCTTATGATCCATCAAATGAACTAATTCAATCAACACGTCAATTTATTTTATCAAAAAATAATACATTGTTTTTTGAAGGAAAATATGCATCAGGTATTGGAAGTCAACATACACAAGCAAGATATGTTTGGCCAATGGCTATTATTATGGAAGGATTAACAATGATTATTGACAATAAAACAAAAATAGATCTAGATTATGTATGGGAAAGATTAGAAGTAAGTCATGCCGATACATTTGCTATGCATGAAAGTTTTAATGTCGAAAATCCAAAACAATTTTCTCGTCCCTGGTAAAATAAATTATTTGAAAAATAATTTCTTTATATTCTTTACATTCTTATAGGTTTGCCTGGGTTAATTCGCTTTTTTCTGAATTGATCTTAACTCATTTGGATCATTTAGAAGAATGGTTACGTTATCGACGACCAGCTAATTTAGATCAACGATTGTCTAATATAAATCAACGACCGCCTAATATACATCCACGATTGCCTACTACAAGTCGACGACCGTCCAATATAGATTCACAATTGTCTAATATAAGTCGACTACCGCGTAATTTAGACCCACAATTATCTAATACAAGTCAACGACCGCCTAATATAGATCCACGATTGCCTAATAAAGATCGACGGCCGTCTCATGTAGACCCACGATTATCTAATATAGATCCACAATTGTCTAATACAAGTCAACGACCGCCTAATATAGACCCACAATTGTCTAATACAAGTGGACCACCATCTAATATAGACCCACAATTGTCTAATACAAGTCGACGACCATCTAATATAGACTCATTATTGTCTAATACAAGTCAACGACTGTCTAATATAGATCCACAGTTGTCTAATACAAGTCGACAACCGTCAAATATAGATCCACAATTGTCCAATACAAGTCGACGATCGTCTAATAAAGATCCACGATTGCCTAATAAACATCCACGATTAACTAATAAAGATCGACACCCGTCTAATACAGATTGACGATCGTCTAATATAGATTGACGAATCAAAGAGTACTGAATCATTCTTGCTTGTTATCTCTTCAAAACTACTTATATTTTTTATGTAATGCCCATTGTTTAATACATCATGTATCAATAAATTTATTTGATTATCTTATTTTTTTACAATAAAAAAAAGATAAAGTTTTGTGACGTAATGAAATGAAAAAAATGATATCATGCGATATACGAAGATTTTTTTTAGAAAATATATTTTATCAACTAGTAAAATATAATACTTATATTTATAATTATAAGATAGTTTTTTTCTACAAAGACAAAAATAATAAGAAAATGTATTATTAATCTTTTTTTCTTTTCTAAGTCATTCACCTGTGGCTAATACATTACCTAGATAATAGAAATAAATCTGTTTCTCAATTGATAATTATAACTGTAAATAGATTCAAAGAAGCGTATATAAACAACAAAAATCCACTGTGAGAAATCTGTTTTGTGTACTGAAGACGTATTTTACAATATGTCGTGATTTCTGAATATTACATCCGATGTATGTTTCTTTTTTAAATAAAATTAAATATTATGAATGGTTGTTTTTGAGCAAAACTTATAGTAATAATAAAATAAGATTTAAAACGTAAAGCAAACATATATTTTCTTTTTAAAATTCTTGGAATGCAGACAATACAAATAACATAAACACAAAAGCTGACACCGGTAAAAGTAATTTCAAAGAGAAAAACTAGAAGAAACTTGAGATACTCTAAACTATTGTCTGTTCCAAGTGAATTTTAGTATGTTTATTCATAGATCCATCGTTCAGCTGTATGTGCCCAGTTGGCAACTTCTTCTGGACGGAACCATAAATCGATTTCGCGTTTAGCAGCTGTTTCTGAGTCACTACCATGGCAAATGTTACTAAAATTATAAATAAAAAAAAGAACGTTATAAAAATATTTTCAAGACAAAATGATAAATATCTTACCGTCCGGTAACGATTGAAAAATCACCACGGATGGTACCAGGTTCAGCTTTTGATGGATCAGTAGCACCAAGCATTTTACGACCAACTGAGATAACGTTTAAGCCTTCCCAAACCTTAAAAATAAAAACAATAGAGATTATTTTTAAGAAAAATCAATAAAATATACCATAGCAACGCATGGTCCACTGCCGACGTAGGTTAAAAGTGGTTCAAAGAATTTTTTTCCCTTGTGTTCTTCATAATGGCTTTCAAGTAAAGCTCGTGGGGCCTATTATAAAAATAAAATTTTAATTTAAATATAAAATGAAATTTTCTAAACTAACTTGGATCATTTTAAGACCAACAAGTTTATATCCTTTTTGTTCAAATCGACGAATGACATCACCAACGATTCCACGTTGGACACCATCGGGTTTGATCATGATAAAACTACGTTCATTTGCGCCAGCCATATTTAATGAATTTAACTTAGACGACGGTGGTTGATCGAAAATCTACAAACAAAAATATTTTATTTAGCTATGTTCTTGGTCACATCGTTTTCATTTCGATTATGTCTTCCACATAGAAGCAAAAATAAGAAAATGAAATCATGTAAGAGAAAAACAAGCACTAGATATATATAAACCCCTCCTCTTCTCGAAGAAAAAAGAAAAAAAACGGAGGACTGCAATGTAATAGAAGAAACGAGAAAGAAACAAAAATAAAATATCTGCTCAGCTGGCTAGAGGACAATAAATTACACGTGCTGACGTGTACATAACAGCATCGAGGTTCGTTAACGAAATCAAACCACCAGTTTTCCTCCACAAATATTTCTAACAATAGATGGCAATAATTTTTATACAAACCTTATCTTTACATAATGAGTCACCATCATCATTTTTTGAACACTGCTCTTGTTTATCATTAATATTTATATCAGCATTTAAAATATCACCATAATTATGTGTAATTATTGTAAAGTTGATGAAGAAAAAAATTAACCACGACATAGAAATTTTTTTTTTGGTTTTTATGCTATAATTTCTAATAGAATGGCTACTTAATAATGCAATTATTTGTCATAGAACATAACACATTCATTTTGTGGAAGGATAGGAAAAAAATAAGAGTATATATATATATATATATAAATGGATGGTATTTATAATAAAAAGAAAAACATCGATGGTAAAATGGTGAATATTAATTTTCGAAATTAATATAAACAAAAAAATAATAACATTTTTATACTTAGTTAAATATTATAATTGATGATCTATATATATATATATATATATATAAAGTTCTTAAAAATTAATTTTTTTTAAGAATAATTCTTATGTCTGATAGAAAAGTGTGTTTCCTAATTTTCTATAATAAACTTCCTTTTCCGAGATTTTTGGTCTACAAAATGTTGATAATATCCTGTTCTATTAAAGTCTTTCATATTATCATGACATACACCTATAATAATCAGTAGATGTAATCTTTTTCATTTTTTTGATACAGAATATCAATATAATATTTATAGAATAAAAATTTTCTTTATCGATTTTTCTATTTGTAGTCTTGTTCAATTTATTAATTAATTTGCACATGATGAAAATCAACAAATATATAGAGTAGTAATATAAGAGATTAAAAATAAGGTTAAAAGAATTGCATGTGCCACTCTACAAATTTCTTTATTAGCTATCTGGCCGCATATATGGTGTTAATCGGTGCGATCCTTTTTTATTTTTTGAGTTCTAAATAAGCAAAAAAAAACCCGTAAAAGTCACTTGTGTTAACTGTCATTTATAATTAATTTCTTTTCTTTTGTACCTTCGTTATTCATCTTCCACTAGAAAAAAGAAGAAGAAAAGAATTCGAAAATAATTTTAATTAGAAAATAAACTTACACAAGATAAGGATCCATTTCAGCTGGATATGGATATGATTTAACTTTACGAGATTCAAGCATTTGATGAATAAAATCAATTGATATTGGTCCTTCAACTGAATGTTTCCATCGTTTAGTAAATCGTAATTGTGGACGATTAGAACAAAATTCTCTTTAGAAATGAAACAAAAAAAAGTATTTTAAATATAAGACAAACAAAAAAAAAGAACATACGATATTTCATTGAGTCGAATAGCTGATGATAAATGATTAGTTTTCGATTCTGAAAGATCACTAAAAAATGAAATAAAATTTTATAGAAACAAATAATTCAAATGTAATAAGAAAACTAACCGTTTCGAAACTTCTTCACATGATTCAAATATATTGAAAGCCGGTGGTTCTCCATGTTCTTCAATAAAAATACTTAAAAAATTCGACACTTGTTCAGGATTTTGTGTAATACTTTTATTGAAAAATTAGATAAAAATAGATTAATATTTAAAAGTATTTTACCTGCATAAATAAGCATGAAAGTCATGTTTTTGTGCACTACTTGTTTCTATTCCGCTTTTAATCGTTGGTTCATGGTGATGAAGTTTATGACTTGTAGATAAAAATCTGCTCATATCAGGAAATGGCACAACAAAACGTTTATCCCTATTATTTACAAAAACAATAAAATCAAATGTTTTTTTTCCTAAACTCTTTTACATTGAATCAGATTTTATGGTCTTAGATTCACTTGTATGTTGTTCTTGTGGTGTTAATCTAGATAAGAATATATAAGTATAATTCTAATAAATATTTAAAGAAAGAACTTACTGTGAGATGTATGAACAAAGATGATCAATTTGACTAGGGGTTAAATTAGCAAGACTAAAGAAGGAAATAGAAAAATAAAATAAAGAAATTAATCAAAAAAAAAAAAATTTTACTTCGAAGAAACAGTTAGTGGATAACTATGAGTTGAATATGTAATTATTAACATAAAAATACATGAGAAAATAATAGTAAAGAGATTCATCATGAGAAGTATTTTGTTTTTAATATAATAAAGAAACAAGAATTAATCTAAAAGGAAAAGTACTTCTATAATATTATAACAGCTAGTTTTATATACATTTAATAGTCAAGAAGAAGAAAAAAAACCAACAAATACATTTCCGTGTGTGTGTGGTAGTTTTATCATGACTTCTTTTAAATCATGTAAGATATGTTATGTTCTTTCAATGATAGCAAAACTCGTGCATATTCTTAACTTAACTAATGTTAGTTGCACATATGAACGGAAATATTAAATGTGAAAAAATAGACAAAAGCAATTGTTTTTTGCCGTAAAGAAATCACCCACTTTATTGATCAAACTTTTGACGTCATTCGACGCGGCTAATTTTTTTACTACTAGAAATGATTTTAACAAAAATTAATTTAATTTAATTTAACACTTACGTATATGTAAGTATATTTTCTTGTTTTTTCACTGTAGAACGTAACGAGTTAATCGATTCATAATAATCTAGAAAGGAAATGAAGCAATAAAAAAAATAATCTCTTATTTAAACTAAAGCTTTTAAAGGAACAAAAAAATAAGATACTGATAGAAAATTATATATCGAACAGGCACGAGTTGGTCAGATGGAAATCTTAATAAGAGATCTGAAAGCATTGCCACTCCTACGCTACCCACGTACATATGTGTCAAACAGCTGTAGATTTCTATGATACGCCTATCGCTACCTGATAGAAAATATAAAGTGATCTCTGTAGGTTTCCCTATCGTTGCTGTTGTTTTTGTCAGGCATAAGACGTTTAATTATCATAATGATACGATAAACTAATATATGTATACAAACCAGCTATTGTCAGGTTTGTCATATTTGACAGCTGTTGTATTTTCTATCTTTATATTCGAACCTCAAAAAACACATTCAAAACTATGTACTTAATTTATTTTTTATTTGCACATTACTGATAATAACCTCAAGTTTATTAACTATATTGTTTCTACTAAAATATCATGCATGAAATAGTAAACGGGAAGTCAACATAATAAAAAAGAACGCATTCAAACTGACTCGTACTTTTTTCTTACTAATAACAATGTTAAGAAAAACAAACGTCCTGAAATTTCTTCTACGTATAATTATATTAATTAAAAAGTAAGAATTATATTCATTATATTTTCATACATACAATTACAGGAAACAAAACAATGCCTTTTCCACTATGAAAATTTCATGCCAAATTTCCTTTTGTCATCATTAATTTTGTTTTGTTTTTGTAACGCGAAAACAAAAGAATTTATTCATATATAAACACCTCCTAGATGGCACAGGATTATTGAGTTCTTAATTTCATTAGACCGTTTTTGCACGTCATAATAAAACAGGCATCATCTGTATAGCTTACAAGTACATTAAACATTTAATGTAATTATTTTCTTCAGATATTTACCAGATCTACATTTGACATATGTCAAGTGTATTATATGATTGAAATTATGCTGATAGTGTTAATCCTCTATCTAATTCAGAGACTCCTTCTGAGGTGATTCAGTTGTAAAGGTCTAGAATATTACAATCAAGGGTTGAACTCTTACAGATACAATTCAATGATTATTTTACATAATGATAGCAACAATTGTAAGTACAATATATTTTCAATATTACAAAAAGTAGAAAAGCATGATTTTTGTTATACATATATAACTTACTTATTTCTAGTTTAGAATGAGTTTGATGAATAATAAACTTATTCATATATATATTGAATTAATTCATTGTATCTATTACCAAGATATGGAATATGAGCTAAACTTTATATGTAATATTATCAATAAACTAGATACTTCTTATATTTCTCATTTAATATTATTGTCGCTAGACCTAATAATAGATCAGCCCTTTTAATAAGAGATTGAAGTGTTTACGTCATGGGAAATATCTTTAGAAATATATTGATTAATAATAACACTACTCATATTATTACCAAGTCATTGAGACTAAATTTAATAGAATCGAACGTTTAAAAAGTACGATATCGTTCAGTTAACGTTTGAACTGATATTTTTAGTTTGACCCCGGATTTTATTATTAACGGAATAGAACATTTATACTAGAATTACTTTTAAGAAAAAGTACAAAAGTTTTAAACACGCAACATTTAGAACTTTTGGATTTATTATAAGATGTCAAAATATATTTATAAATATGACCATTAGAGGGAAATTATGATAAATTTAAAAGCAAGTCAATTAATATGTCAAAAAAATTATTTTTAAAAAAATATCTTTGATAAGCTTCATCTCGAATAATTATCAACATATACCTACAGTTTTCTAGGGCTTGATGAATTCTACAAAGATCAAAATCTTATCATTATTTTTTT